CAAGGGATCTGAGGGTCCAGATATATCACCTGGCGCGTTCCGGATTGTTGAAACCCGAGGAGTGGTCCAAAGCGAGCAATGGTCTACAGGCTTGCTGCGCCCTGGCCGAGAGATCTGGGGCATCACGTGACGTGGGATGTCCTCGATTTCGTCCATTTGGTCAGGGCCCTCAAAAAATCGACGAGTCGACCCAAAAACCGCCACTAACTTCGCAGACCTCCGCTTGAGGCGCTTGCGGCGGCGGTCTGAAGTTCCTGGCCGCCGAGGACAGCGCGCCCCTGGCGGCAAGGCGCCTCCAAGCGCCGGAGGCGCAAACTTCTGCAGATCGGGGTCGAAGTCGGGGCCAACCTTCCCTATTTGTCACTTCCCTTTTGCTGAAACTAGGTCCCCCAGCAGTGCCCTTCGGAGCCCCTTTTTTGGTTGGGGTTCCCCTTATAAAATACACTCCCTCCGGTGGGGTGTCGCCGCGCGCTTTCTCAGATGCTTTTCGCCCTGGTGTGGCGCGTTCACGCCCCGTTTTCGACGACCTGCGATAGAAATTGGACACGCGCCCAAGGGCGCTCAAGCGCAGCCAAATGGTAAGAACACCCGTTCACTGTATCCATGGCGGTCAACTGGTAAGAACAGCCGTTCAAGTGCAAATGGTAAGAACACCCGGTTAAGTGCACCCGCACAGCACTGTATCAATGTCAGCCAAATGGAAAGAACATCGTTCAAGTGCGCCCCGCCGCATTGTATCCATGCCAGCCAAATGGTAAGAACGCCCGCGCAAGTGCACCCGCGCCGCGCTGTATCAATGCCAGCCAAATTGTAAGGACACCGATTCACGTGCACCCGCGCAGCACTGTGTCCATGCCAGCCAAATGGTGAAAACACCCGTTCAAGTGCGCACCCGGACAGCACTGTATCCCTGCCAGCCAAATGGTAAGAACACCCGTTTAAGTGCACCCGCACAGCGCTGTATCAATGTCAGCCAAATGGTAAGAACACCGTGCAAGTGCACCCCGCCGCGCTGTATCCATTCCAGCCAAATTGTAAGAACACCCGCGCAAGCGCACCCGCGCCGCACTGTATCAATGCCAGCCAAATGGTAAGGACACCCGTGTAAAAACACCCGATCAAGTGCACCCGCGCAGCACTGTATCCATGCAAGCCAAATGGTAAGAACACCGTTCAAGCGCAATTGCACAGCACTGTATCCATGTCAGCCAAATGGTAAGAACACCGTTCAAGCGCACCCGCGCCGCACTGTATCCATGCCAGACAAATGGTAGGAACGCCCGTGCAAGTGCACCCGCACAGCCCTGCATCCATGCCAGCCACATGTAAGAACACCCAGTCGCTCATGGCTGTGGCAGTAAGACTGAAAACAACCTGGCGTGAAACAACGCTCGGCGACACCCAATCGGAGCGTTGTTCTTTTGATGTTGGCTTAAGTAAACACAAGTATTATTGTTTCCCCTTTTCGGTTTTAAAGGGAATTGATTTCACTGGAGACATTCGCTGATTTGTTGCCGGGGGCTTAAGCAAATGGACGGCAACGCTTGGAAAAAAGGGCGGCCAACCTCAAGCAATATGGGTCAGTCATTTGTTTGGCCGGGCACTCACAGAATCTGTTCCCTTTGTTTTTTTGTTTTTCTTCTGTGGCTTTCCCTCAAACGATCAAAAAGAGGTATCTCAACAAAAGGCACACCCTCCGTTTTTTTTTTCAGGGTGCCCTGTTCGTGGCCTTCATAACTTTACAGGGAACCAACAGGACAACCTGTCCCCTAAGAATACAGGCACCCACACGGGGAAAACCCTGAACAACTACAGGGAACACCCTGAAACAACTTTTTCTGTGCGGAACAGCCTCGGAACTATGAAGAGCATCCCCAACAAGAGGGTTCACCATCACAAGTACGTAAAACGTCAAACTGAATGGTGGGCATAAATCCCCTAGAGGCCCTAGCTTGTAAATGATGCCACTTCAGGGGTCCCCAATCAAATTTCAGATGTATTTTCTGATGGTAGACCAAAAGCCATTTAAGGGCTTGATCAGTGGCCATGTGTTCCTCAACTTTCAATTGCGTTGACCTCCAGCGGCAGTTTGATTGTTCCTCTTTAAGGGAACATTCAGTGAAGGTCGTAGACAGGTTGCTTTTAGGTTCACTTCTGTTGATACCAAGGCATCCCGCTTGGACACAGCAAAGTAGTCAATGATGGTGACACGGGTGGCCCCGTTGGGGCATCAGACAGTGGTTTATGTCCCCCCACCCACGCACACACACACACATACAAGCATGCAACGAAGGGTCGTACAATGCGAAGAGCCCAGCACACGTTACACGGGGGGTTCTTGTTCAGGCAGGTTTCTGCGGTTGCTGGTTTGGCCCCCCCTGTATAGGGTGCCTCAAGGTAATGAACACGCAGGAGCCCAGCTCATCGCGCGGGCAAGCCCAATGAAAAACAGGATACCCACTAAAAGGCACCCCACCAAAAGCCGGGTTGTTTGTTACAATCCTGGTACAGCTGAGAACAAGAAGCCTTTTTGATTCTATACCACGGTGTTTGGTAGACCACTTGACATCCAGATTTTGATGTTGGCTCGCCCGGCATTCATGCTTTGATGTACATCCAGGTCCCCCAGTAGTGCCGTTTTACTCCCTTGTTTGGGGGAGGGTTTCCCTACTAAAATAAACTACAGAAGAAAGTTGCTACCCTTAAACCTCTCTACTGGAGGACCTAGACATGGTTTTGACTACTCAGAGTTTGAATTTGACCCAGGTTGGCACTTGGTGCGGCCCAAGTGAATGCCTCGACCTCTCTCGGCTCGATCGCCAGGATGGCTCTGATCCGGCGGAGGACGGGCGCCTGGCGCCTGGCGCCTGGCGCCTGACGCTTCCGGGCGTGGGGTTTTCTCTTAAAATTTTGGGACCTATTCCTGTAGGTTTCTAGCAGAACCTTCCAATATCCCCACCTGCCAGTTTTGGTAGGGGATTTTGGCCCGGGTCCCCTGTGACCATCCCTATCCCACGGTTTTCACCAAGCCATGTGCCATGGTTTTTTCTAGTAGCATTCCTTATGGTCCAACCTCTCGATTACCCCGAAGTAGGGATTTGGACCAGGGCCCCAAATGGATTCCTTTGGTTTTCCTTCAACGCGACCTGCAAAGGGCACCCTCAAAAACCAAAAGAAGCTCCAATGGATCCAGGTACCCCTATATTCAAAACCTAACATAAAAATCCTGGTCTCCAATTTTTCCTAACAAAGGAGTGGACGCTTGGGACCTTGTCAAGAGGATGGCTAGCGTCGCGAGGCTGGCATGGTCCACTTCCATTGAGAAAGTTGCCAATTCGTTTTTGATGTAACATGTTCTCTCTGTAACATAACCCATGCATCTGCAGCAATGCGCATGTGTCACAATAGGGGGCTCCAAAGATGATGGTTTTCCGATTCTCCCATTGACTTATTGCAAACAAAGGCGAACCGGGGTACCCCATATTTCGGGCACCCCATATTTCATGTTATGCCCCCCCGATTCTTCCATCTTGTTCCTGGCTTTGGCGGGGGATTGACTGGGAGGGGCTGAGGGGGAGGTTCTGAGGGACTACCTCTTTCCAGAGAAAAAACAAAACACAACATATTTGCAGCAAACCATCGGTGACCTTTGTCCTGACCACGAAAATTGAGGAAACCACATGTCTTGACCTAACCTCCCCCCCCCCACCACCACCCCTTCCGTTTTTCTTTTTCCCGTAGGAGTTTATGGAGGCGGCCCCTGTCACGGCGCCTTTGGACAGCATTCCCGCGAAGTTTGCGCACTACCTCACCGCGGCAGAGACCCAAAGGCGGGGAATCCTTCCTTTCGCTCGCTGCTTTTGGCGTGCGGAGGACCAAATTGCATGGAGCGCACTTCTACGGCACCCGATGTTGCCCTTTTGGTGATGCTTCGGCCATTTCTGGCGAGTTTCCATGTGGGGTGATGTTTTCGGTCTTTCGTTTTGCGGCGGCGCCGTTTGCCCTGCCTCCTTTGAAGTGCCCAAAGGTGTCCCAGGAAAAGACACCAAGGCCCTCGGGGAGGGGGCCCGGAGGCGAAGAAAAGAGCTCACGACGCATACGAAACACAGGCAGCGGTTTCTCCACCTCGGCACGGCTCGGCTCATGGGTTTGACAGAAAACTAGGTTTTCAGAGATGGTGATACCAAAAAATATGATAAAGCAGTCATGGAAGTCCCACTTTGGTTTCCGACCTTTGGCCCCTGTGTGTTGCAGTTACGTCCGTATGTTTGGTCATGGACCAACAGCAAGGCTGCTGCTTTTGTGCGGGCACCATGCTGACAACAATTGTTTGGCGTTTGGGCATGCCACACACGCTGCTTGAACACGTTGCTGCTGTTAGCTAGCGCTCCGTAAGAGAAGGAGTGTTTAGTTGCAAAGCGGACGTCTAAAGATGCTTGTTTTTCGAGAGCGCAGTCACACGGGTGCTATACTATTTAGGTTTTTTCTCTACCACTGGATTGCGTTTTTTGTTTTCCAGTCCCCCGAGCAAGCAAGCCAGCCAGCCAGCCAGCCAGCCAGCAAGCAAGCAAGCAAGCCAGCAAGCAAGCAAGCCAGCAAGCAAGCAAGCAAGCAAGCAAGCAAGCAAGCAAGCAAGCAAGCAAGCAAGCAAGCAAGCAAGCAATGTAGCACCCTGAACCCTCCCAGTGTACCTTAAACACAAAACCACCTACTCTACACCTGCCCCGACCCACCTAACAGACCCGAAATCCACCCCTGAACCACCCTAAGCGTACCAAATGTGCCTTGCCCAAAACACACACAGCCGAAACACCCGACCCAAAACCCCACTAAGCCCGCCTTTATCCTCAACTCAACCAACCCAACCAACCCAAACTCCATCTGAACCCACCCTAAGCCAACTCTAAACCCACCCATCAACCCACCTACACACCCGCACGCAGCCCTAAACCCACAACTCTGAACCCCTAAGCCCCTAAGCCCCTAAACCACCCTACGCCCGCCCCAAACCTAACTTAAACCAACCCTGAACGGACCCCGAAGCCCGCCCTAAACCAACCCCCAACACACCCTGAACCTGAACCCGCCCAAAAACCAAAACCGAAACTCGTCCTAAACCAACCCTGACCACCCTAACCACCCTACAAGAGCCTAGATGCCTGTCACTCAGCTTGCTTTCATTCTCGTGTCCTGTTTCACCAAGGCGCCCGCCAAGTATCCTCGTGAAGGTGGCGGTTTATGCGCCAAGGACGTCCTGGATGACGGTACGCCCCGAACGCACCCCTAAACCCATCCAACCCTAAACCAATAACTTGCCCACCCCAAACCCACGCGAGACCTACCCAACTAAACCCAACCTAAACCCACCCGAAGCCTGCCCTAAGCCCAGGGCCTTGAACCAACCCAACCAACACTCCCTAAACAACCAACCACTAAACCCACTTTAAACCCACCTCAATCCTCTAAACAAACCTTTGCCAACCCTCCATCTAACTCTCTGCCTGAGGCCCCAAACCACCCCAACCAAACACACGCCAAACCCACCCCAAACCCTAAATCCTGAGCGCGCCCCATAAACCACCCCAAAGGTGACCGGAAAATGGAACGGACAAAAATTCCCAAAAGCGCTGGGAAAAATCCCAGAAAGAAAAGGTCGGCCTTCTGGGATGGTCTGCGCGCAGCTCAAGTGCTCAAAGCGCAAAACGCGACGTTGTAAACGCGACCTTCGTTTCGGCTGGACCAGGCGCTCTTGCTGCGGCCAGAAGACTCTTTGTTGCAAGCAACGCTGCCGCAGGATGCTGGGGGGATACGCAAAGATTGCCGTTCCACGCTGCGCTGGCCTAGGTGGGTCTGCGCAAATGTTCTTGAGCGCGCGCTCTGCAAGGGCGCCAGCCGAACGGCGTGGCTTTTTTGCGCTTGCGCCTTGCGCTTCTCGCAGCAACGCAGTGTCGCCCGAGGCAAGCAGCGCTCGCGGCAGACGGCTGCTGGGTTGAGGCAATTGTAAAGCCCAACCCCGACGCCCGTCTCAACGAGAACGAAGTCCGTGAGGAGCTTATAGAGGCCGGGCGACTTGCTACAAGAAAGCAGCGCGTTAGCCCAAGGTTTTGGCGGCGACTTCGATGGCCGGTGTCGCGGTCACGAAGTGCAGCTTGGTCGCAAGGCGCGACTGCAGGGCTAAACGCGCTCCTTGGCGCGATCAGGCACGCGTACGTCTGCGTGAAGCCAGCGGCGGAGTGCCGCGCGGCGAGCGCGGTCCGGGCGGCGCTGCTGGCGGCCGTAGAGCTGGCCATTTCGCCGCCGGTCGGCGCTGAGGGTCTTTCTTATGCGACGTAGATTGCGACTTGTCCGAATTAGGCTGCTCTTCTGGCGGGCTGGGAATGTTCCGCGCTTAGAATAAAGAAGCTTGATTGTTTTTCGAGTGTGGCTTTGGCCGAGGCTACATAGACCCCTCGAGTTGAGGATTTTGGCATTGGAACCTGCCACCGAAGAGGGGCGGCGTGTTGCAGGACAAAAGGTGCGCGAGTCTGCGTCCTTTCTATCGACGTGGTAAAGCCCACGAAAACAACTGTTTTCGCGAAATACTTGTGTGCCGCGAGAGCCACCTGACCCCTTTTGAAGCAGAAAAGTCACGAGGCAGCTTTAGGGCAGAAAAGGTAGCGCGGTCCCGCGTTTGACGCCGGTCCGCGAAATTCTTGGCTGTGATGAAAGAGTTCTTCCGCAGAAGAGAACAACCCTGATCCCTTTCATGTGAAGTTTGCAGAGGTCACTAAAACGATTCCTCCACAAAACAAAAGCTTGGCCCCATCTTCGTGTCTCCATGCGCGAAGACTTGAATCTCAAAGCCCGAGAGAAATAGTTTGCGAAAACAAGACAAATCAATCGAGATTCGGGCGCGGAATCCCCTTTCTTTTGAAGCACGGGAACGCTTTACATTCTTTAAAATGCTCTTGACAATTCCGCGCAGTTGCCAAGAAGCAAACAGCCAGGGGCCGGGGCAGAAAAAGAAACAGCCAGGGGCGGGACCCAAAGACGCAGGAAAAGTAGAAGAAAGAAAACAGCCAGGGCTGTCTTTTCTCGAAACTTTGAGCCCGGGAAGCCCCCTCTCCTTATGTGTGAAATGTTGGGACACTCTTTTAGGACATGTACCTTCTCTTATTTGTGGGTCCGGTAGCTTACCGGTAAGGGTGAGGCTGCTGCAAGCTGCAAGGTGATGAGGTTCAGTGCAAAGGTTTGCCAGTTTGCTTGGTGAGGAGTGTTTGTATGCAGCTCGATGTGCTCGAAACTCGACTTGTGTAACATTGCATGGCTGCCATCGAGAAAGCCAGGGCAGCGCGAGTTGCCTTACGAGCCTTTTTGTTATCACTTGGAGATGTTCCTGTTGCAGAATATGCGGCTGTGTGTGAAGTATGCCATTAAGATGCTCCTGACTTCAGACACGTTTGCTGTGCTGAAGCCTTTTGTGTTGTCCATGGAAGAGATCGAGCTGCTGCTGCCGGGCTTCTTACCCCCGCTCGGCAAAGCGGTGGTGAAACTGGCTAACGCCAACCTGGCGAACGTTGGGGAACCTTGAGCTTAAATTGGAAGCCTGTGTGATTGCTAAACACAAATCGTTAAAGATATTACGTTGCTTTTTCCAATTCGTGTTGCTTCCAGGAATTGGACTGGGACTTCTTGCCTCTTCCGCAGAAGAGCTTCTTTGTCAAGTCGCAGGTCTATGGCCAGTTTGTACGGGAGCGGATTAGCCGGCGCATAGCCGCTTTCATGGGTCAGAAAGATAAAACCGACCAAGAACGCGCAGACTTCTGCCGGCAGATGCTGGCTGGGCCGCTGTCTGAGGCCAACAAGAAGCAGTTGGAGTTCGGCTTGGCTTACTATGGTCCTTTGGACAAAGCTGGTAAGCTTAAGTTCCTTCTGCAGACCCAGGACAATTTCCAATACCTGTTTGAGTGGGAGCCGGGTCACAGCTGGCTGCAGCTACGTGCTTTCTGCAGCAAGGACGCCGACTTCACAACGGCGATGCCCTTTGGCAGTCCTTCTCGGAGAGCATCCTGATTTGTTGACCAGCATTGGCCACCCAGTGCTCAAGGCTCTGACTCGTGATCTCCTGTCCTTGACAAAGATTGCTGGCAGTTCCGACGTGCTCCAAGCGCTGGTGAAGCAGGTGTTCTTTGAGCTCTGCGCCTTACGGCTAGGCATCCGACTTGAAGACACGGCGATGGAGCTGCCAGCTGATGAGAACAAGGCGCCTTCCTTTTTTTGTTTGTACTTCTGTTTTGAGAACTGAACCTCTACCCATCCTGAAAAAGCAATTGTCTAAATCCTTCCTGTTTAACAAGCCCTTTTGTACTATCATTATTGCTTGACTGGAGCCAGGGTTACACACGTGACCCCTTAAGGACTCTTTGCTGCAAATGGCGCGCGTCATCGGCAGTGCTGTGAGCAAAGCCAGCACTCCAGCAATTATGCGGCTCAAGGATGCACTTGCTTGGGCAAAAGAGAAGGAAGCCGAAGAAAAAAGCTTGCGGCGAAGCTGGCTAATCCAAATGAAAGAAATGATAAGCCAGCGAGCGTCCAAGATGGGGCAGAAGTGTCCAAGCCGAACACAAACTCGCCAGAAGCCATGCAGGATTCCAGGTCGGGGACATTGTCAAAACCATAGCCAAGAAAGAGAAAGACAAATGGCACAACATGAACGCTGAGATCGTGACTGTCCTCACATCGCACTACCGGGTGAAGATGTTGGAAGGACCTGCTAAATACGAAGAAAAGAAATTCATGAAGGAGTGCGTGACAAGGGTCTTGAAAAGGCCAGCTCCTGCGGCAAAGCCGCAAGAAGAGGATGATCCGGAGAAGCGTGCTCGTAAGTTGTTCGCTGATGACCTGACGATGTTTTGATAGAAGCCTAATGTCGGAAAGTGCTAAATAAGCACACGTACATTTCTGAAGCATCTGCAGCCTTCTAGCGGAGATGCCCGAAAAAATGAGGCTATGTTTGCAATGAAGAGAGCTGACCGCTTAAGTCCATTTGTTTATTTCTTTCATTCCTTCCTTCTTTCTTTCCTTCCTTTCTTCTTTCTTGCTTCTTTCCTTCCTTCTTTCTTTCTTTCTTGCTTCTTTCCTTCCTGCCTTCCTCATTTCCCTCCTTCCTCCTTCCTTCTTTCCTTCCTTCCGTTTTCTTTCTTTCTTTCTCCCTTCTTATTTCTTTCCCTCTGTCTTTCCTTCTTTCTTTCCCTCCTGACCATTTTTCCTCCTTCCTACCTTCTTTCCACTTTTTTTTAAAAAACAATATTATTTTTTACTTTTTTTTCTTTCTTCTTTTTTCTGATGCTTTTCTTACACGCCATTATTCACCACTAACAACCACTAATTAGCCACTAATACAACATTACAGGAGGCTCCCTATCTTTTCCACATAACTCTCCCCATGTTTCCAAGTCGCAGCTGTTCGCAGTTCAAAGATTGCATCGGCGCGTTTCGTGGCGTTTTCGACGCCGTTTTCTTCACCTTGGGAGGCGCGGGCTGCTCAAGACACACGCTCAAGGCTGTCGTAGTTTGGCGACACCAGGAGAGCACGTGCTGACCCAAACGCACGGCGACTACTGAAGCTGGGGCTGGCCAGTGAGCTGGGACGAAGTGGTGTATTTGAGAGCGAGCGAGAAAGCGCAAGAAAGCCAGCAAGCAAGCAAGCAAGCAAGCAAGCAATGTAGCACCCTGAACCCCCCCCGCCCGGTATACTCTAAACACAAAACCACCTACCCTACACCTGCCCCGACCCACAACTCTGAACCCCTAAGCCCCTAAGCCCCTAAGCCCCTAAACCACCATACGCCCGCCCCAAACCTAACTTAAACCAACCCTGAACGGACCCCGAAGCCCACCCTAAACCAACCCCCCAACGCACCCTGAACCTGAACCCACCCCGAAAACCCGTCCTAAACCAACCCTGAACACCCTAAACCGCCCTACAAGAGCCCAGATGGCCTGTCACTCAGCTTGCTTTCATTCTCGTGTGCTGTTTCACTGAGACGCGCGACAAGTATGCTCGTGAAGGTGGCGGTTTATTCGCCAAGGACGTCCTGGATGACGGTAACCCCGAACGCACCTCTAAACCCATCCTACCCTAAACCAATAACCTACCCACCCCAAACCCATGCGAAACCTACCAAACTAAACCCAACCTAAACCCACCTGAAGCCTACCCTAAGCCTAGGACCTTGAACCGACCTTGAACCCCGTAAGCCTTAAACCCAACCAACACCGAACCCCACTGACCGGAAAATGGAACGGGAAAAAATCCCAAAAGCGCTGGAAAACAACTCCCGAAAAAAAAGGTCGGCCCAGTCACACCTGGCCCCCCTAATCATAGCAGCTGTTCAGAAAGCAACGGCTTCGCGATTACCTTCCCAAAACAATCCTGGAGTCTGAAACTTAAGAATCTTGGTGGTTCCCAGCCATCCGGTTCCTTGTAGTTTTTAGATCCTTTTAGTAGGTTTTGTGGTTGGATTTCCAAATTGTTGGCCACTTGGAGCGGGGATAGAACGGAGAGCCCAGGGAAGCAAGCGAGCACCATCCCCTTAGGTTTTTAGACATTTCGTGTTTAGTGGGGATGTCCGAATTTAACCCACCAAAAGCTCAGCTTTTTTTTTAGCGAAGAAATCTGAAAACGGACGGAGGCGCTCGCCGGACGTGCTGGGCCTTTCTGTGCGCTTCTACAAGGCCGAGCCTTTTGACTGCGGTCCGAATGCCCAGCGGAAGGCTCACATTTTTGTGGCTGCGACGCAGGCAAAAAGAAATGCACCGCATGGAGGCGAAAGAGTTAATTACTCCCAGGAGAATGGCAGTTTGCTTCTTTCTTTTTCTTTTCTTTTTCTTAGAAAAAGAGAGTAGCCCGCAAGCTCGTTCTGATGATTTAGGCCCTGTTAGTCCTCAGAGTTCTGAACATGGGCATGGTGCATGGTGCGTGGGAACCGGAGTTCCCCAAAAATTGAGGCCGTTGAACCGAGCGGTTGGCCATGTCCAGTTGCCCTGGCGGCAGCCCTTTTTCGTTAGGTTCTCCTAGGTCCCCCAGCTAGGTGCCCTTTCTTATCCCTTTTTTGGTTGGAAGGGTTCTTTTGCTACAATATACTACAGAAAAAATGGTACCCTTATTCTAACCTCCCTACTGGAGGACCTAGTTAGTTCTCGTTTGTGACTGCGCAAAAGGCGAAACCCCCATTTTCGACCAGGGTCCATGGGCAACTAGGCCAGCGTTCCCTTCGCACCCATGGTTCTTCTTGTCATAGTGTTTTTCATGTTCCCTTGTCGGTTTTACAGTTGTTTTTGGTTTTTTGAAATCTAAGTCGGATGCCACTGGAAGGTGATGTTGCTATTTAATTGCCAAGCCTTCTATCCGTTCCATAGGGAGGGTCAACTTTGGATATCTGCAAATCGAGGCCCCTTCCAAGCGTTTTCTTTTGGCTGCTGTTTATGTTCAACCACTGGGGCCCTACAAATAGAGATAGGCAGACCGATATACAGGCAGACATTCAGACACAAGCGCAGAAGTGCATAGATTACTCACATTGCATTGCATTGCAATGCATTGAGCTGCATTGCATTGCATTGCAATGCATTGCATTGTACTGCATTGCATTGCATTGCATTGCATTGCATTGCATTGCATTGCATTGCATTGCATTGCATTGCATTGCATTGCATCAACACCATGTCACACCACAATTCGTTTACCTACATTACATGACACACACACATACATTACATACATACGTTACAGGACACTGCAATGCAACACAACATTTACGTATCATTGCATTGCCTTACCTTATCTTACAATACATGGCATTACAATACAAATGCATGTACGTATAAGTGCATGCCCGGAAGAAGGAATGCACGCGAAGGTACATTCATGCAGTCATACACACCTACCTATCCACGGGGACACGGACGGACACTTGGGCAGACAAACTATACCGTGCCATACATTACACCACCATAACATGATGTCTTGTTACGCTAAGCTGCATTACATAACATTGTTACAACACATCATTGCAGTACATGGATTACATACATTACATTGCATACGTGACATACATCACATACATATGCAGTCATGCCTTCCTACCTACCTGCTTGCCTACCTACCTACCTACCTATTGCTTACATACTCATTCAGGTTTGAGTTTTCCCTGTAGGCATTTGGTCGACTGAAGTGACGCGTCCTTAGGCCCAGCACCGGTGTCCTCCGCCATCGACCGATCGCTGGACTACCGCCCCTTGGCCCGACAAAAACCCACATCGGTCTGTTGTGGGAACACAGGCGTCCTTTTTGTTGGTGAGTTTGGCTGAAATGGATGGGTTCTACTAGTTTATATAGGTTTTATAAGCCATTCACTAGGTAAACCCATGTATTTTCGACCAAAGACCTATGATAGGGAACGTTGATTGGTATTTAAGGGACACCAAATGGAGACTAACTTGGATACGGTTTTCTTCACTTGAGACACACCCATAGGGCATAGCTGTCGGGTAGGTCCGCATCAGGGCTTTGCGATGGGAAGTTCATCATCGTTGATGCTCGGTGGCCTGTTTTGTCATACCCCTATGATTCATAAAGATTATCTAGGACACATAAAGATTATCTAGGACACATCCTTGTAAATAATTAAAACGTATTAAGAACAAATACATTAGATATGGAGTATTCAAAAGAAATGAAAGTCAAACACTAAAACAATCGGTTCAACTTGTCAAGTGCTGCTGATGCCCCCAAAAGGAGTAACATATTCTTAAAACGTGGGGTGGAAATCAGGGAAGCCAAGGTGTGAACAAGGGGTATGCACTTCCACCCTTAGATTTTGGCACTCTTGATTGGGCTGTGGCTCTGCTATGGATCTGAATCAGCTGGATTTTGGAGCCGCCCAGTGTCTCAGTTCCCATTGACGTACCAGAGTTTTGCTCTTGACCCAAATAGGATGACCAACCCAGTAGAACATTGGCTGTGTTTCCTTGCCCTTTCTTTCGGGTCCACTTTGATTCCCACTGATCTTAGCAAAGGCCTGGAGCAAGGCTGGTCCGCTTCGTCAAATGTTGTCACAGAACCTCCGAAGAAGAAAACCTGGGCCGCCAAGGTCCTCTCCGACTTTTCCGCGTTCTGTTCTTGGTTGTCTCGGTTGTTTTAGTGGATTCCGCGCTTTTTCTTCCTTTTTACTAAGGGTTCCGATTCCTTGAAAAACTCAACCAACCAAAAAGGGGTGCCGATTCTGCCAAAATGGGGCGCCGATTCATTCCTTTCCTGTGGGCACTGGGCGTCTGGGTTCTCGCCCTCGCCTGTGGCGCCCCTGAGGCATGGGGGCCACCGGCGGCTTCCAGCGGTTTTTGCAGCATCACGCCAAGCACGCGGAGCCCGGGGGCGCGGAGCTTAGGAGTTTGGAGCTTGGCGGATCCCTTCAGCTTCCAGATGCTGAAATGAATATGTTTAACTTTATTATTATGATAATTAGTACTGTTATTATTATGCTATGTTCCCTTGTTTGTTTTAAAGGGAATCTATCGCTGCTGAGGCAAATGGAAGTGAGCCATCAGCAATTGACCTTGGGTTGGTAGGGATGGCCATCAACCTGGGAAAATCAGGAATTTACACAGCGTAAGGGGTTTGTAGGGGTGTCTAGATTTGAGGGGGATCGGACTTGAGTATTTCTTCGTTTGCGACCCATGTGGGTATGATTTCCCAGACAGGGATCGTCCTTGATGTGTGGCAATGCGGAGCAGCATGCAGGACAAGCAGAGTCAGAACCATTGAATCGTTGCTGGCACTGAACTCAGCACTTGACAATGTTACCCAAACCTGTGGTGCATTTGGAGGGGATGTGCCCTTCCGGCAGAAGGGTACCCATTTTGTCCCCATGGCCCCTGGCCAGGTTTCTTCTACGGCAAGTGGACAGGGACCATCAACATTCTCCAGAGGGGCAAGTACATCTTTGATCTCGACCTGGGCTTCGACACCGCTAGTTCCATCAAGATTGACGGCAAGGACGGATCATCTGCGGGAAGGAGGTACTTTGAGATAAGATACACATGGGTAACCATGGGTAGGGGATGGTAGGGGTCAAAATTTAACCCACCAGGGGACCTGGTTTTAGTCCATGTTTGCATTTGCCAGGGTTCCGTGGGCGTCTTTTTGGGAGGGTACCCTTCTTGGTGGTTTTACAGGGAGACCAAAAGGAAGCCGTTGCGCCGTTTTGCGGTGTCCCTTAAAAACGAAACAGCAACCCACACGTCCCTTGGTGTCCCTGAAGGGGAGTAAACCCGGTCACTGGGTTACCAGTAGAGCCGGCTGCGCTGCTTGGAAGGTTCGAAATATGGCTGTGCGTCAAAGATAGGTGCTGAAAATGGAACCCTGGTAAATGGAAGCATGGACTAAAATATGCGTTTCATATCCTGGTGGCTTAATTGTGACCCATACCCATATAGCAACTAGAGTTCCACCTTGTTTTTTTTGATTTGGTAAGCTTCCCTCTACCAGTGAGATACCACCAGTTCCGAAATATACGAGTTTTTGATTTGGTAAACCTCCCTCCTTTTTCAACTGGGTGTGTTTGTTTTGAGAAATCCGTTTTGCGGGGCTTCTATTAAGTGACAAGATGGACGACGCCTTGCGTCGACGTCGAAGGAGCTACTGACTTTCGGCCAGTGCCGGGCTGCCAAGGAGCGATTCCGCGGTTCGATTCGCAGAATTTGTTCGAGGTGCCGGAAGTGACGGGTGGGTGGTTTCGCAATTTAAAGCGAACCAACATCCCATGGTCCACATCCATTTGCTTAAGAGCATTTGTTATTTTCCCTTGATGATTTTAAAGGCAATCTATCACTAATTACTGGAAATATGTTTATTTTTCCAGGGGGCTTGTGCAAATGGAAATCCCAAATCCCCGTGGTACTGTCCAAGCAGCAGCGGCTGGGGTGCTGGAAGGGATGCCTTCAATCTTTTTTCCTGCCCTGGAGGTTTCAGGTTGAAGATGTTTCCATACCGATGATAAATTCGTGTGTGTGTGTGTGTGTGTCTATGTGTGTCTATGTGTGTCTATGTGTGTCTATGTGTGTCTATGTGTGTCTATGTGTGTCTATGTGTGTCTATGTGTGTCTATGTGTGTCTATGTGTGTCTGTGTGTGTCTGTGTGTGTTTATGTGTGTTGTGTGTGTGTGTTGTGTGTTTTGTGTGTGTGAGGCGTTGTTTCAGCCTATCTGCACTTGAATTTGGCATGTGATCAACACTTTGCGCTTGCGCAAGCTCGTCTCATCACCAGTCAAACCAACACTTTCTGCTGGACGATCCTTTGTGCTCTTTGGAGGTTTTTGCCACCTCCAGGCAGAATGGCTGACACCTGTGCCAGTACGGCAGTATGCTGATAGCTCATTATTTGCAAGACTCATCTGCAGTGGATCCAAGTGACCCTTACAGGTAACCAACCAATTTTCCGGTCGGTGTTTTTCGCAAGGGGGCATGATAGGGATCCCAGACAACCTGCTGCTCACTGGCCCCTGTCGGCCATGGCTCAAAACCAATGGGATCCCATTTTGGGGTTTTCGGTGCACCACCCATTTTAGGACCTATTTGTGTTGGGATTGGGTTTGAATCGGATGTTCACTGTGGGTACGGGGTTTTGAATCACAGCCATATGTATTGAAGAGGTGAATTCCAAGTGTATTGTAAGCAGTCGTTGCCGAAGGTGGGGTACGATTTGGGTTTTGACCCATGGCCATTTTCTGTCAACAAATTCCTCGAGGAGGAGTTCGCCTGCAGCCTCAAGCGCTGCCTGTGGAAGGACGCCTGCGTACCGCCAGGCCGGAGGTGTAAACCGGGGACACCGTTCGGTGCTTGGGCGATGGCCCACCCCTGGGTTTGAGTCGACCTTTGGCAGGGCTCCTTCAAAGATACATTTTGCAACCATTTGAAACATGTTGCTTTTTCCAGCAAAATAAAGGGACACCACCATTTACAAGGCAATGTTCAGGTGTATAATGTAAGGATCCCTGTTTGGGGGTGAGCAACTTGCTGGTTCTCAGCTACGAGTTGGCTTGATGTTGCGGTTTTCTTCTATTTTCACCCCGCTTGTGCGTGTTTGTGTGTGTGTGTGTCGGTCGGGATGTCTGGCCTCGATCCGCCCTTCTCACTCCAGAGTTTCTGGACTGTACACTCGGGAAGATGATTTTAGTGGCAAGCCTTTGCTGCAGCGTCTTCAGGACTTGGTGGTTCCTACCCATCCGCTTAGCTTTGTAGATCTTTTTGGGTTTTGGTGGTCGGATTTCCGAATTTCACCCACTAACAGTTCATCAAGCTTTTCGCGGATCTGAAAACGGGGCCCAGAGGATTGTACCTGTGGGCATGTGCCTATGATGAAATATCTCAATCACTCTGCAAGCTGCGCAAGCGAAAATTGGACCATCCACTGAGCCAAGAGGATCTTGAGGCAAATAACCCGCACTTCGCCGCGGCCCTGCGGCGAGCCAAGCCACCATGGTCCCTTTCAGAGAAAAATGGTGTCCGAACCAGGAGACTCTGGGACGGCACTTGGTATTTCATGTGGAAAGATCCATGCAATGCACGGACAACGAGTCTGATTCGCAAAGCAAGAAGCCCTGGGCGAGATGGGTTTTGTGACTCCTATCGATATACCAACCTGCCCCTAGGCCCAAGATACGTACACTTTCGAGCTAATGCTAAACGAGGGGACTCGCATTGGCAACCGAGGGCCGTTTGTAAATCATGCTGGCGCCTTATGTGCGTGTGGATTGCGGGCGCGGGAAGGGCGTGGTCAACAGTTGGCTCACGGGTCTTCAGTTTGCTTCAGATCCGTCTCTGAAGTTGTGGGCTGAAGGTACTTCATCCTTACCGGTTCCGCAAGGATTTGGTTTTCCGAGTGGCTTCCCCAAAAGGGATCATGGAAAATCGGATTGGCCAAGAATCCATTTTGAACAGCCCAGCTTGACCCTTCCTTTTTTTCCCCAACTGTTGAAAGCTTTGGGGTCTCAGCCCAGATAGGCTCCGGGGTGGTCCGGGGCGGCCCTGAGGTAAGGTTCCACGAGGGTTCCACCAGGGTTCCACCAGAGTTCCACGAGGTTCTGCGAGGGCTGTGGGGTGGTGCAAGCACTAAAAAGAGCACCGCATGCTGTTGGGGATATCACCTGAGCTTATTTTTCTTCAACCCATTGCCATCGCCTTGCAGGTGGTGCGTCGAGTGCCCCGGCCGCGTCGCCGGGGCCAGCCCCGGGGCTTGCACCGGCGCCGGCGCTGGCGGCGTCGCCGGAGGCGCCGCAGGCGCCGCAGGCGCCGGAGGCGGAGGCGCCGCGCCTGGCGTGGCCGCGGCTGGTGCCGGAGCGGCGCTCCGACGTCATGAGCCGCGAGGCTGCAGAAGGTTTCGGATCCGCAAACTTGCAGCGACAAGTCGGGAAGGTGGGAGTGAACCGGTTGTGGGGATGCCCTGAAAGGAAGCCACCATGGTTTATAAGGGTCATTCCATTTCTCATTCCTTGCTGACAACCGGCAAATAAATGCCAAGACATGCATTAGATTCCTTGAGGTATCGAACCATATCGAACCCACCACTGGATCTACAAGACTTGGCAGACACCCTGGGCAGTTTGAATAAAAGCTCGACGGATCCCACTGGTTTAGATTGGTTTTCTGCCGTCCATTTGCCACAGAAACCCGCCCACTTTTCACCAGGGCCACCTTCTTGCCGCTGAAGCCGGAACCGGCCGTTTCGGAGAGGTTAACCGGTTTCAGAGACCTTTTTTCTTCCCCAGAATTGGCTCCCCTTTTTTTTTGGGGGGGGGGCTTTTTTTGGGGTCCCTTTGTTTTCCACTAACCAGGCAAAAAATATATTTTTTTGCTGGGCTCCTAATTCCAGCCTAGTTTTTGAAAAATGCGGCAGCTGCCTGGAGAGAGTTTCACGACCGAAAAGCTTTCAAGATGCGCGAGACTGACTGCTTACCGGCAAGCATCGTTGCGTGCGTTCCCTTGCGCGCAAAAAAACTCGAGACCAACCTCCCTAAGCGTCATGACCCCTCCAGACCCCCTCAAGCCCTCCAATGGAGAACTTCGACCAATTCCTCAAGACCCCTCAACAACCCATTTGGAGGGCCCAAAAACAGTCGGGATCCAAATAGTTGGTGTTAAGTCTTCAACCTCAACAAAAAATCCGATCCAGACGTACTTTGGTGGTCAGTGCCCAGAGGGCATTTCGCTCCGGCGAACGATCCAGTGCCAAGAGTTGCAGCATTGTTCTGGTCCCTTTTTCATGGATGTAACGAGCTCATTTGTTTATTTCGCGCTCACGATGAAGGTCCTTTTACTGGTGGATTCCTTCATTAGTGGTTTATGAGTTATACGCAGTTTGCCCAAATTCCAGGACACTTCCTGCCTGACAGCAGGACACAGTCGACTGATTCTGCCCACCGGGGGTGGGGTTCTGGGTCGAACTTGGACTTGCGAATACTTAGTCAATATTCCCAGTACTTAATTTAGTTTTGCTCCCAAACTTGTTTTTGCCACTAACTAAAATCTCTGCGATTTGGGATTTGTCGCCCTTGAAAGAATGGGGGAGTTGCCCCTAGATGTATGTGCTCGTTTTCGATTCTCGAGGGTGCCCTTATAAGGTTGATTCAATATTGGACCCTGTTTAATACCTGGGGCTCATAGAAATGTTAAGTCCTAAGTCAGGATCCTGGGACTGTTTTGGGGTCCTCAAAAAATCGAACGCGCTTTTCACCCCTTAGTCCACTCGATCGAAAGTGAGGCTGATTGAAAAGACTGGTTGAAAGTTTGACGCGGCATGGATCCTGTCCAGGGATCCTTCCAAACAGAGAAATCAGCTGCTCCCCTAGGCCCCCCCAGTGGTGCCCTTGTACCCTTTTTTTGGGGGGAGGCTACCAAAATAAACAGAAGAAAGTTGGTACCCTTATTCTAACTTCTCTACTGGACCTCGTTTTTTTTAGAGAACCAAATCGCACGGAACTGGCTCGAGCATCGACTAGGCCCCTGGCACGGCGCGGCCCTGATGCAATCCCCCGCCCTGGCGCCCTCGCCCATGCCGGACTTGCCGAGCTCGCCGGCGCCGGCGGGTCCGGCGCCGGCCGGCGCGCCCGCCAGCGCCGCGGCTAACTGAGATCCTAGACACCTCGTGCACTGTTTTTTCTTAAAGAGAATATTACAACAAGTCATAGCCGGGGTTGCACCTTATTTTACTTCATGTTTGTTTTTAAATGGTATTGGATGTTGAGACTTTAACTTGTTTTAAACATGAATGCATTGAACCCACACAAAGCTATTGTTTTGCAGAGGGGCCAACCGCAACCTAGTTGCTTTCTTCTTCTTTGGAAGGAGGATTTGTGGCAGTTGTGTGGTCTGAATGGACCAGACGTAGTGCGTGGCCTACTGCTTTGGACATGCTGTTGGAATTGTATCGGATTCGAATTTGTTGATACGATCCGTATGTTCCATTACATGTCTGGGGGTAGGAGCGTGGGCGGAGTGGAAACCATCTTAGAACAAAGTAAGTTATCACCTGTGCGCAGTCTTGGCGGGGTATCAATGAAGCTGTCCAAGGGTTATCCCAGTCAGTGACCTAATATCCCCTCAAGCCACTTGCCGGGCTGACTTCCACAAGGGCAAGACAGCGGGTTTTGCTCAATTTTGGGACACCAGACACCAGCCAAATCGAAATGGCCAAGGTTTGCATAGATACCCATACACATACGCATACACGTATGTATACACACTTATACATCCTGCCGAGGTCCCCCCATGGCCGCACCGGCGCCCGTTCCGGCGCCTGCCTTGGCCGCAACGCCCCCAGCGCCCGCGCCGGCGCCGGTGCCCCTCGACTCGCCGGCGCCCAGCCCCGCGACGGCGCCGGCGCCGGCGCCGGAGCTGCCGCCGGCGTTTGAGGCGCGGAGCCGTAGGTGAAGAAGCCATCCCCTTGGCCTTTTAGCCTTTTAGTGCCCAGTGGTAGTTTCCAGGTAAACTAAAAGTTAGGTTGTTGTTTTTTTGGCGGGGGATCTGAGAGTTTAGCATTTTTCACCAGTAGTTCCCTTTCTCACCCTTTCTTGGGGGGGAGGTTTCCAGACACTAAAGTAGACTACAGAAAAAGGTTGGTACCAACTTATTCTATCCTCTCTACTGGAGGACCTAGCTGGTATCCACAGATCCACGGATCTACCTGGGTAAGAACGGCGTTTTGGACAAAGGGAACAACGACGGCTTCTTGGAGCCTTGGGATTTGGGGCATGGGAGAAGCAGGCGCTTGTTGGGAGGTGGTGGTTTCAGGAATGTTCTAGTTCACCGGTGCAATGATTGCCAGACTTCAGTCACTTTCAGTTTGCCCTTTTGCCCTTTTGCCCTTTTGCTTTTCCTGGAGTTTGTGGTTAACCTGAAAAGGTCACTTTAGGGGGCGAAGGCCGGCCAAGAGGGAGCTGCGGCAATGAGCAGATCTGGCCTCACGTTCCTTACCAAAGCTTGGTTCCTGTGAAGGGCTTTCCATTGGTCCAGAAGTAGAAACAGGACAGTGTTGTCACTTTAGAGGGGATTCTCTCGGCAGAGAAAATGGACTATCCGAAGCTTCGCTGCTGGGAAACCAACGCAAGCAGAGCATACGTCCTTGTGTCTGTGTGTGTGTGTCTGTGTCTCTGTGTGTCTGTGTCTGTGTGTGGTTTTCGGGGTTTTGGGGAAACGAACCACGAGCTCTTCACCAAGCACCTCGCTTGAGAAGGGAGCGCTTCGCTTCCCTCGAGCCGGGGGTTTGGGGGCTTGGCTTTGGAGCCGGGTGAATCGGAGGGCCCTTCTCCAGGCTCGACGCGGGTCTTTTCGCGGGGTTGCCCGAGGCAACTGGTGCCAAAAAAGGCCCAAGAAGGCCCAGTCTTAAGAGCAGCTTGATGATCGGAGCTCTTTTTCGTGGCTATTTATTGCAGTCGTTCATTTAGATCATTCAAAACGTAGGACTCGCATGACGTACTCCCCTAAACGAGAATCTCCAGCATGTTTGCAGCGCAGAAGTTTCGGCTGAAACGTATTGCGGCTTTTGTCGCTGAAACGTGCGGCTTATGTCGCTGGAGTTGGAGATCGCTTGCCTGAACGGCGATGTCCTGGAACTCCTCGTGGATGGCTCTTGGACGGTTGATCAGCTGAAGGAGGAAATCCAAAAGCGAACCGCCCTGGAGGCCATCGAGCAGCAGCTCGTCACTTTGCCAGAATTAGTCTTTTTCTTTTCTTTTTTTGTTTTTTGGGATCCCCTTTGTTTTCCACCAACCAGGCAAAAAATCCCGTGTTTTTTTTGGCTGGGGTCCTAGTTCCAGCCAAGGTCATGGGGACGACAGTGCTGGCCTCCAGCGATAAGAGCCTGGAGAGCCTCATAGAAGAGAGAGCCAGCCTGGTTTTGCTGCGCCGGGATCCCGTGTCTTCGTCCAATCCAGCTATTTGAGCCGTTTGCGGTTTTTCGCTGCCTGGGCCGGTGTCCCGCTTTGCTTCTGACTTCCCCTTGGTTGCCATTTCACTGGCAACGGCGAAAGATACTTTTGAGTCTGAGGTGCTGCTCAAGTGGCTCGACTGGGTGGGCCGTGGTCGAGCGCCATACGCGGACACGCCCGAGTACTTGCGGGGCGACCGGGATCTGCTGTACGCTGCGCTGAGGAAGGACCGCGACCGCCCGGTCTTGAGACACGCCGATCCGGAGCTCAGGAACGACCGCGAGGTCGGTGCCCCAAAGTGCTTGAGCCTGCGGTTTCGGTGTTGCGCGTCAGGAACCCCTTACATGGGGGTTGATCAATATTCCTGGCTGCAAAATGACCATGGTAACCTTTGCCATGTGGTGAAAGTCATTTCTTTTTTTTCCGCTGTGGTCACCCCATGTTTATCGGACCTTTTGATCAACCCCCATTTCCGGCCCGCGATCTCGCGGGGACACGTCCAAGGGGGTGTTTTGCCAAGTTCGCGAGGTGCAACACAGGGTTTTCAAGTCCAGCTGGTGCGTAAGAGGAGTTGACCCTGGAGCCACATGGAGTCCCCTTCAAAGGAAAATGGTTGGTCATTCCCCCAAAGGGGTCATGATCCCATGTTTAAAAGGTAGCGGTCCACGGGTGTTCGTCTCAGGTAGCGGTCCACGAAGAAAAACCCCACGGGAGCTCCAGCGAGTTTGCTTCCTCAGAATTGGCTCCCCTTTTAGATGTTTTTGCTTTTTTGGGGTCCCCTTTGTTTTCCACTAACCAGGCAAACACATGACGTTTTTTGCCGGGGTCCGAATTCCAGCGAGTTTGCAGGTCTTGGAGTTTGCGGTGACCCGGGACGGCCGCTCCCTGCAGTGCGCGCCGGCAGAGCTGCAGCTGGAGGAAGCTTTGGCTCTGGCGGCGGTGGCGGGGTCTAGAAACCCGCTGCCCTTTGACGAGTTGCATCTGGAGGGGTCTGAACAAAATGTAACCCCTGGCCACCTTAAAAAAAACCCAAAGGCCGTGTTTTGTGTTTCTTTCATGTTTTTTCCTTATGTTTGTTTATGTTTGTTTATTTAGGCGCCCTGGCCAGGACCTCCGAAGGAACGTGGAGTTTTGCTGTAAGGCCGTAAGCCAGGACGGCTGTCTCTGGCATCATCTGGGAGCCGCAATGAAGGTGCAGAGGGACGTGGCGATATCGGCCCTGCAGGCCACGGCGAATACAAACGTTCTGGCGGGACTGCCAAGTGAGTTACAGGCGGATGCCGAGATTGTCAGCCTCGCAGTGAAGAAGAACGGTGTCTTGGTGCTGCATTATTTCCCGGGTTTTTTAGGGGGTTTTGCGGCAGTTTCCACCCAACCTGCCAACATGTCATGGTCACTCTCAGCGCAAGAAACGAAAACTGCCCAGGTGTGATGTTGCAGCACGCAGCGCAGGAACTTCGGGCAGACAAGGACAGGCGCATGTACCTTCACGGACCTCCCAGAGTTGCCTAGGTCCCCCAGCAGTGCCCTTTCTCACCCCTTTTTTGGTTGGGAGGGTTCCCCTGGTAAAATAGACTACAGACAAAAGGGTACCCTCATTCTAACCTCTCTACTGGAGGACCCAGCTGCAGCTTCATTCAATTTCCCTGCTCTTGGCGGTTCCCGTCCGGTTCCTTAGGCGTTTGGTGGGGGTGTCCGAATTTAACCCACTGAAAGTTGAACTTTGATCAGGGGATCTGAAGACCGCCCAGTGGTGAATTTCAACTTGCCTGTCGGGCGGCAACAGTGGGTTTGATTCCCACTTGTGTGATAGCGCTTGCGCCTCCATTTTATGATTTAAGTAGAGAGTTCGTCATTTTTGCATTTGGGTGCGTCCTTTTCTAGGGATCCCCCCCAAAACAAAAGCGTGGTTGTCCTTTTGGTACCTCAGAATTTGTTGCAACCCTAGGACATTGTCTTCGAAGCAGTCAGCCAGTCTGGCCGCGCCCTGCGCTTCGCGCACCCTGACTTCTTGAGCGATGCAGAGATTGTCCATGCAGCAGTCACTCCATTTGCGTGGCACCTTTTTTCTTTGGGAGATTTCCTCTTAATTCAGAAAGAAATGAAGGGTCTCCCCTGTAACAACCCCAACATGGAAGGATGCCTGGAACTCCGTTCGAACTTCCATCTTTCCTTTTGCAGGGACGACTAGAACATGGCATTGAGGGACCGGTCAGATTTTTTTCTTGGTGGTTCAAACCTCAGGGTAGGCGGATTTTTTTTTCCGAAAATCTGGGCGGAGGTGAAGACTCACCCTTGCGCGCTGAAGATCGCCGCCGAGGCGCTGAGAAACGATCGGCGGATCGTCGCGGCAGCGGTGGGGGGGCCCTCGGGCTCCACTGCCTTGGAATACGCCTCAGAGGAGCTGAAGGCGGACACCGACTTAGTACTGGCTGCGGCAAAGACACTTTGGCGCATTTTGCCAGGGGATGTTAGGACTTTAACTTTTTGCCAACTAATGGGTTGTCCGAATTAAACCGCTAAAAGTTGAACTTTTAGCAGGGGAGCAGATTTCGCAACCGAGGACACATATTGCAGCATTGGAGCATGCAGCCGCCGAGCTGTTGGAAGACGCGGACTTCATTTTGGATCTAGCTCAATGGGATATTGGCGCGATTGGCTACGCTTCAGAGGCCTTAAGATGCGACAGGGCGTTTATTGCCAGACTGATTTCTGAGATGAACTTGGACAGGCGGCATCTGCTTGTTGATGCCAATGCCGACTACGTGGCATGCCTAGGACTAGACCTCGTTTCTTTTTGGAGTGTGCAGGATGAGGTCCGCGCATCGCGCGCTGATGCTTCCTGGAGCAGCGGAACCGGCTAAGAAGTCCAAGCAAGCTTGAAAGACCTTGTTGCACTCATTGATTCGTGTGCCTGGTGTATTCCTTGCGCGTACGTTTTTTTGCTTCAGGTCGAGGAGTTTCAATTCGGCCACCCGAAACTCAGTTCTTCCAAGCCGACCCTCTTGGAGCTTTTGGTCTTCCCAGGTCGGTCCAGATTTTTTTGCGTGGCCCCAAGAGGTGATCGGCTTTCAGTTCCGGGTCCTGGCAATGCAAACGCCTTTTTGCTGGTTGCAGCGGTTCTCTTTTGAAACGGAACGTGTAGTTGACCGTGTAATTAGCGCGGGTCATGTGGGGCCTCCTCAGGTCATGTATTAAGAAGTAAAGCTTGGGCACACATGGGACATCACCCGCATTATACATATATATATATATGTATATCATGGTTTTGTGTGTGTACCCCAGAAGTCCGGGCATGAAAACCGAGCGCCAGGAGCAAGAGCAGCCGGGCGAACTGTGCGGCGCTGAGCAAGGGCCAGCCCCCCCGAGCTCGGTAGTTTAAACATTTTGGGCTACCTTCCAACCAAATTGGGTTTGAAATGAAATCGGGGTGCAAATCCCAGACCACTCCAAACCACCAAGTATCCTTGGGTTTCTGAAAGGGGTTGTGTGTTTTTTGTGGGGGCCCCCTTGGGGTTGTTTTGAAGGGAAACCAAAAGAACTTGTCCTGTATGGGCTGAAATGCATACCTTTTCCCCTTGTTGGTTTCAAAGGGAATCTGTCACGGCTGGATTTGTGTTTTGCCCGATGCGGCCATGGGGGCCCGATTTCGCTGTCTGATTTCAGGGTTGAGTGACCGCTTCCCTGACATACGGTTCGAAGTTTAGGAATCCGCCGCGCCGCTCCTCCCTTTTGCTCGTAGTGCTTCCATCTTAGGCAGAAGTAGGATTGTGGTAGGAGGGAAATCCTCCTACCGGATGATCAGGAGTTGCAGCCCCGGCATTGCTTGCCGGGGCTGCGACCAGTGGAGGGTCTCCTCGCAGGGAGCTTCCAGGCACTGCGGGGTCTGCCGGGGGCTCGGGGCATTGAGGAGTCTCTGCCTCGACCCCCGGCTGTCGGCGCCATCTGATTTGAGTGCCCTTTTGGAGATTCTCCAGGGCGCTCAAAGCCAGGTGCTGGTGCTCCTTGAGCAGAAGGGAGCCAGCAGCCGACGGGAGCCTAGCCGATCTCCTCGTAGGGAGGTTCGGGAAGGATCTCCTCGGGAGGTCATCAGGCCGACCCGCAGTGAGTGGCGGCCGTCTCTTAGAGAGAGAGACGAGGCCCGGGTGCAGAGAGAGATCCTCTCTACTGCAACCCCAAAGAGCAGCTCCAGTGCTCGTGTGCCGCCACCTGTTCCTCCTAGAAGGGAGGACAGGAGTGCCGAAAGACCAGAGGCTGAGCGTCTGGTCCTGGCCCCAGCCGAGGCAAAGAGGAGGCCTGTGGAGCCCGCCTATCCCCCTCCGAGGTGGGAGGGTGGAAAGGAAAAGGGCAAGGGCAAAGGCAAGGTTAGGGGCAAGAGCCCAAAGGGCAAAGGAGAAGGAGCTTGGCCCAAGAGGAGCAAAGGAGTTAAGCACCGCAGTCGTCAGGAGCGGTGGTGGGCCGAGGGTGGCCCGGGCTACGAGCGTGCAAGGGAGAGATCTCGGTCTCCTAGGAGCAGTGAGGTTGAGGAGGTAAAGGAGGACACAGCCGCCCAGGAGGAGCGTGAGGAGGAGGAGTTCCGTGCGTTGGACCTCTTGGGAGATCGCCGCCCCAGGGGGGAGGAGGAGATCGAGCGGGACTTGGAGTTGGAGGAGGCAGAGGAAGTGCTTCCCGGCATCAGGAGGCCGGTTCCCTTGGAAGGGGAGTCGCAGGCTGAGGCCTGGGCCAGGAAAGGACGCTCGCTTGAGGTCCTGAGCGATTTGGATTAGGTAGAACTCCGAGGGGAACCTCGCCGGAGCCCGCCAGAGGCTTAGTGTGGGATGCCAGTGCGACGCCCTGCTGCAAAGGTCGTGTTAAGGAAGCCAGCTGCTAAACTCCCCGTCAAAAAGAGCCCAAAGCTTAACAAGGAGCTTGAAAGGCCTGGTATCCTTAAGAAAAGCCGGGGCGGCAAGAGCCCCAAGGAAGCTGAGATTGAGAATCCATTCCTTCCTTTTGACTCAGGTGCCATTTGGATTGGATCGCAGTTGCATTTGAAGGGAACTTATTGCAACAACCCTGTGGAGGTAGTAGGTGAGATCACTGCACGGTTTGAGGATTCCAGTGGTAACTACCTTAAATTGCAGGTATGTGGGAGCCCTCATCTTCACGTCCAAGAGTACGTGCATGGAGCAATCCGGGCCGGGCTAGCAGGAGAGTTGTTTATACCAGAGGGAGTGATGAAGGTTCCAGCCCGGGGACCGGAGTTTTTCCACCCCGTTCTGATGAAAGAGCCAGATCCTGCGTTGCCCTGGTGCCGAAATCTAGTGGTAGGAAGCAGCCCGACTCCTGGAGAGGGAGATCTAGGTCAGTTGCATCAAGCCGCCGAAGCCATGGGTTTCAGCCAAAATCCGATGCCCCAGGCCCCGCCGAGCGCTCCTCGATTGGGAGCAGGCCAGCCAGATCCTTTGCAGGACCGGGACGGGGGTTCGGTGAGCAGTGGGGAGAGCAGTGGGGTCAAGAAGAAGAAGAAGAAGAGGAAGAAGAAGAAGAGAAAGAGATCAGGAGGGCCTCACAGACGCACAAAGGAACGCATCAAAGAAATGCTAGTGAGGTCGAGATGGAACTGGAAAGGCAGCAGCATAGACCCCATGTTCAAGAAGCCTCGTCTCAGGGTGAAACGAGATCATGGAGGGAGTTCCAGCAGGGGAAGCAACAGCTCCTCATCAGAGGACTCAGCCGAGAGCGGAGGATTGTTCCAGGAGCCCAGTCAAGTGAGACGCATATCCCAGAAGTGCCCCGGCCTCCTCACCAGACATGGGATGTCGGAGGCAAACAAGTTCCTGAGGCAAGCCGAAGGTTTCTCCTCGGGGGGAGACGAAGTTCGACCCGTCATGATGAAGTATTACCGCCAACAGGTTGTCCAGAGCGGGGCAATGCCGAGCAAACCCATGAGGAGAGAGTTCCAAACGCTGGCAACCTGCCTAGACAGCTTGGTAGAGGGGAATGTGTTAGGGGCAATGGACATCTGCATGCAACGGATGAAGAGCCTAGAACTCATGGCTCAGGGGGGATCCCCCGAGACGGCCATGAAGGTCGAAGTGCTTCTCCCCGACACCGCTCGGTTGCTGTCGGCAGGGGAGGGACACAATGCCGCCCAGGAACAACGGACATCAGAGCGCCTGGAGACCCAGCTGCGAGGAAGCGCGGGGGGGAATCGTTGGATGAGTCGTTGGGAACCCCCCAAAGGGGACCGGAAGGGGGATGGCAAAGGAAAAGGAAAGAAGGGCGAGGGAAAGGACAAGGGGAAGCGTTGGGAGGGGGGCAGCAGCTCAAACTCAGGTAGTTGCCCCCTCCTAGAGCCTGCCGTAAAGTGTACCAGTGCATGCCCAATTTATGATTGTACTAGACCGCCGCAGCCTCGAATCCCTCCTTTGCCACCCCGTGCTAGGACTAATAACCGAGGGCTCTTAGTTGGAGAGTTAAGCGTTTTGGGATCACGACTCCTGGCCTGGGAGAAGCTGCAACAAATCAAGGATGCTGTTCACTCCAGCATACCCATCACGGGACGGGACTTGTTCCCGCTCCCTCTCCCAGACTGCCAGGAGCAGAAATGGGGTTCTTGGTGCCATGCCGGTGTGCATGCCCTGAACGTCATGACCGTGGGGTCACCAGAATCGCCGGGGGCTGGATCACCTGGACAAAGGAAACTGCTGTCTGAATTCGTCTCCGTGTTCTCTAGGAATGAGGACTTGTTCAATTGCATGATTCCCGAACATTTTTGGAATTCCAAGAGCGTGAACGCATATGGTGAAGAAATCCACCATTGCAGGTCGGTGGGCTGGGCCAATCTACGTTCGAGCCTCCCGACTGCAGAGCAGGCAGGAGTGCTATCGCCGGAGATGGTAGCCACTGGGGGAGTACTAGATTTTCTGGAACACCCCACCAAGTATTTGTTGCCGTTGGATGAGAGGGTTAGCATGAAGACCCCTCGCGTTATGATCAAGGATGATGATTGGGACGAAGTGTCTCTAGGCTTGGTGAGACGAGGAATCTGCGAGGTTATTGCAGTGGAGGATGTTTTCCATGTGCATGGATCTCCTTGTCTGGGAGGACTCTTTGGGGTGCCTAAGCATGAGACCACCCCTGACGGACACGAAGTGTTGCGGTTAATTATGGATCTGCGCCCCATTAACCGTAATTTCCTAGCAGTTGAGGGTGACTTGGGAACCTTACCAATGGTGACATCGCTAGGCGGGCTAGAGGTAAGGCCGCATGAGGACCTCTTGATAAGTTCAGAGGACATCAGGGCTATGTTTTACATAGTTGGCCTAGGACCTCAATGGCGCCCGTTTTTGGCTTTCGGTAAGGAGGTTCCTGATCAGCTGAGGCCTCCGGGAGACAGCCGTCCCCACGTGCTTACCAGTCGTGTGCTGCCAATGGGGTTCATCAATAGCGTAGCAGTAGCTCAACACATCCACCGAGAGATAGTCAAGCGAGCTCTGTCCAAGGTAGGACCTGGTGCCGAGTGTGAGTTCAGGCGTGACTCGACTTTCCCTCAGTCTGAGGTTGGATACCGAGTTTACTTGGACAATTTTGACCTGTTAGAGAAAACTAACTCGTCAGCCGCAGAAGTCTTGAAGGGATCCAGAGCCCCCTCTTCGGATGCTCTTAGACGAGAGTACGAGAAGTTGAAAGTGCCAGCCAACCAGAAGAAGTCTGTCAGCCGAGCATCGACAGCTGAAGTGCAAGGTGCCCTGGTAGATGGAGTTAGGAATATAGCTTACCCGAAGCCTGAAAAGTTCGTCAGGTACCTCAGGGCAAGTTTCTTCTTGCTGTGTCAAACTGTCGCCAGCCTAAAGCAGTTGCAAATTGCCTTGGGAGGGTTGGTGTACCTCTTTCAGTTCCGCCGTCCGCTGATGGCCAACCTTAATGAATGTTGGTCATTTCTGGTAGAGCTCGGGCGCCAGGATCCTTCGGGGACTGCCATGTTTCCAATACCCACTGAGGTTAAGAAAGAACTCTGGTTGAGCCTTAGTCTTGCCCCGCTGGCCTACATTTGCTTTGGAGCCGAGTTCAGCGAGGTTGTCACATGCTCGGACGCTTCCGAGCACGGAGGCGGGGTCTGCCAATCTGTTGGTCTTACTCCTATGGGGCAGCAGGCCGCATTTAAGACCGTAAGGGGGGAACAACCAGACCTCTTAGGCGATGACGGTGTGTTGGTCATCTCGCTGTTTGATGGGATTGGAGCATGTCGAGTAGCTCTTGAGCTCATTGAAGCCAATGTGTGTGGTTACATTGCCGTTGAATGTGCCGCACCAGCCCGGAGGGTCGTGGAACGCGCTTTCCCATCAGTCCTGTTTGAAGATGATGTCACGCAAATCTCAGAGGCCAATGTGTTGAATTGGGCTAGGCGCTTCCAACGTGCTAAAGTGGTGTTGGTGTCAGCTGGTCCTCCTTGCCAGGGAGTCAGCCAGTTAAATGCTAGCCGAAAAGGGGCGTTGCACGACCCTAGGACAAAGCTGTTCCAGCTGATCCAGCCAATTGTTGAATGGGTCAAAATTCACATGCCCTGGGCCAGTGTGCGAAAGTTGGTTGAGAATGTTTTCAGCATGTCAGAGGGTGACAGGGCTGCATTCACCACCGAACTCAAAGTTTTGCCCTATGTGGTAGATGCTGCAGGACTGAGCCCATGCCGACGGCCTCGGTTGTGGTGGTTTGACTTCCCTGTTGAAGGTGAGGACAATGTGTGCATCCAATTGCCTCATTCATCAAAGCCTCACGAATATGGTCGAATCTCCTTCCAGGTAGATGTAGAGGTTTGTCACTACCTGGAGCCGGGGTGGGAACCCGTGTCTGGCAAGGACCATCGTTTCCCCACCTTGACAACCAGTATTCCCAAATGCCAACCAGGTTTTAGACCTGCGGGGATTAGCCAATGCACAGCGGATGAGCTCCTGGTGTGGGAGAAGGACCGCTACAGATTTCCTCCATACCAATATCGTGTCATTCATGGATTGAAGCATCGCAAGTTTGGGTGGAGAATCCTCAGCACTCGTGAGAGAGAGACATGCATGGGTTTCCCATTGGATTACACAGCAGAGTGCATTCCAAAAGGTGAAAGAAAATCTAACCCATTGCTGTTGGATGACACTCGATGCAGTTTGCTGGGAAACTCCTGGTCTGTAGGAGTCACCGCGTTCCTGTTGATGTCTCTTTTGCGCCCTTTCAACTTGTGTGCCCGCCTCAGCGTTGTGCAATTGGAAGAGCGATTGAGGCCCGGCGCTTCGCCAGACCTAGTGGGTTTTCTGCAGCGCCCTCACTGGGAACGACCGCGAATGGGCAAAGCCACAGACCTTTCCATATCCTTGGTGAAAAAGCTCTCTACTTTGGTGTCACAAAAGGGAGCCGACCTGCTCCTGAGCCAGGAACACGACAGCTTGCCCCAGCATCAACGCCTGAGAGTGGGATTGGATCCGCGCCTGTGGAAGTGGAAAACGGTGTGTCACTGGCAGTGGAAACGGGTGACAGGTATGCTTCCAGAGCATATAAATAAGTTGGAATTGCGTGCACTGTTGTCATCAGTGAAATGGAGAGTTTGCCGTTTGCATCGGGCGCCTGTTCGTTTTGTGCATTTGGTTGATAGCCTAGTCGTGCTACAGGCCTCCTCGAAGGGACGGTCCAGTTCGCGTAAGTTGCGCCGAGTGATGCAACGATTGTCAGCTTGGCTCTTGGTAAGTGGCTCCATCATGATCCTAGGATACGTATCGACGCACCTGAACCCCGCAGACGAACCCAGTCGCAGGAGGTCCAAACGCAAATGGTCAAGCGTTGCGTAGTGGATTCCCCTAAGGAAAAGGTGCGTAAGGAGCGTCGGCAAAAACTAGGAACTTTGAAGAGCCTCATAATCAAGCCAGCCACAAAAGTCCGATATGATCGTGCTTTTGCTTCATTCTTGCAGTATCAGAGGAACCACCGCTTAGCGCTTGCTAAATCCAATCCTGAATTAGATGTTCAACTGTCGGACTATCTTGAGCATCTATGGGAAGAAGGTGAAAGCCGCTACTTGGCCGCTGATACTTTATCAGGTGTGCAGCATTTGCAACCCTCGGTAAAGGGGCACATACCACAGGCCTGGCGCCCGCTGAAGGCTTGGGCCCAGAATGAATTGCCTGCACGGGCTCCGCCCTTCACAAAAGAACAAGTTGAGGTCTTGTGTGGATGTACTTTAACCACCCCTTGGATGCCCCTTGCCCTCTTGACAGGTTTTTGGGGCTTGCTGCGCACTGGTGAGCTTCTAAAAATACAAGCCTGCCATGTGATCCCCTCAGGGGCACATGTACTAATTCATTTGGGTGAGACAAACATGACATCTCGCAATGCCGGTGTGGAAAACGTGTACATTCATCATATCTACACAGCTCAACTGTTGCAGGCATGGGCCTCCGTAGCCAAGCCACATGATTATCTTGTGCCTGTGTCGCAATACCAGTTCAGGTTGTCCTTCAGCCAAGCCATCCAAAAGTGCCAATTCACGGGGTTCAAGCCTTACTCCTTGAGAAGAGGAGGTGCTACCGCCTTGTATATTGACACTAAAAGCTACACTCAAGTGTGCCAGCAGGGGCGATGGGCTTCAGAAAGAACTGCCCGCATTTATATCTCCGATGGAGTTGCACTTCTAACCGAGCACTCGTGGGTCATGTCACGTAAGCAAAGGTGTTTTCAGACCATGTGGTTCAATAAACTTAAAGCACTTGAGCTACCGATATATCGGAGAGCAGGGGAACGTGGAAAGGCATTCTCCAAGTCGCCGATGATGGTTAGCTCTAATGCTACCCACTTTTTTGCACCAAGGACGTGATTCCGCCTTGCTTCTGAAAGTGATGCCGACTTGGATTGGTTGGATGCCAAAGCAACCCCGAAACTTTCCGGACTAGTTTCTCTGTTTTGTACAAACTACTTGCTGGAGTGAAAAAAGGGAGGGAAGGCCGAGCGTGATTCCTTGACATACGGTTCGAAGTTTAGGAATCCGCCGCGCCGCTCCTCCCTTTTGCTCGTAGTGCTTCCGTCTTAGGCCCGCCCGCCCGTCCCAGGGGTTGCACGGAAAGGCATTCTCCAAGTCGCCGATGATGGTTAGCTCTAATGCTACCCACTTTTTTGCACCAAGGACGTGATTCCGCCTTGCTTCCGAAAGTGATGCCGACTTGGATTGGTTGGATGCCAAAGCAACCCCGAAACTTTCCGGACTAGTTTCTCTGTTTTGTACAAACTACTTGCTGGAGTGAAAAAAGGGAGGGAAGGCCGAGCGTGATTCCTATGCTAAAGAGCAGAGACTTCTCGGTGCTTCTCGGCAGAAAAAGAAAAGAACAACAAAAAAGAAAAGAAAAGACGGACGACCGCCGCCATGTTTCGGGTGGATGTGTTTTTTGTCCAGTGGACGAAAAAGAAAAAATTAAAGTTGCAAGCCGGGTCAGGTGTTTTTTGGCGTTTGGGCCCCAAACGCAGATGGAGGTTGCTTGTGTTCTCCCTGTTCCCGATCCGCGGGCCAGAGCCAGATTGGGTCAGGCTGCTACAGGCCCGCGGTTTGCTCCCAGAAAACCAACGGGACGAAGCAAGCCCGGACCGAGGAAGTCGTACAGGGATGTTAGGACTTTATCAGGCTCCTTAAAGTAAATTCCTTTTGCAACCATTTGAAACATGTGGCTTTTTCAACACCCAAATAAAGAATTGGACACCACCATTTACAAGTTGCAATGTTCAGGTGTATAATGTAAGGATCCCTTTTTAACTTTGTGCCAACTGATGGGTTTTCCGAATTAAACCGCTAAAAGTGAGTCACTTTTAGCAGGGGAGCAGATTTCGCAACCGAGTGTATCATCCTCAATGGAGTTGATGACTTGGGGAAGCCATATATTCAGCTACTATTAGGTCCGGCTTTCTGGGTCCAAGGTTGGCCCGTTTGACAGAAGTTATTGGGCGTTTGCTGAACACGAATTGAGCACAATCAAATCCCGGCTAGATGAAGGTTAGAAAGTCCCAACTATAAATGGGTGCAGCCGCCTTTTCAATTCCTTTACACAGTTGCTTTTGATTATGACTCACTTGTTGGATGCAATAGTGCATTCCGCCTGTTTGAAATGTTACCTCATACCCTGAAGACCCACACGAGAACTTGGTGCTGGATCACCTGACGCACTCCCAAGATATCCAAGCAACATTCGCAACATCTCAACACCGAAGAAGGCAACTTCCAGTATGCAAAATTTCAAGCAAAAAACATGCGCTGTGCCTAAGGTTCCTCAGCGAAGGCGGGCATTGCGTCGAGGTGGTGGTGAAAGCCGAGTCTTGGACAGCAGAGCTGGGTAGCGGAAACCTTCGTTCAGGACTGGAGGGAGCTAGGTGGTTGTGATGCCCTGCATGGTTTTGGATACACTGACTAGGTCCCCCGGCTAGGTGCCCTTTCTCACCCCTTCTTTGGTTGGGAGATTCGGTTCCCCTACCAAAATCGACTACAGCAAAAAAGGGTGCCCTTGTTCTGACCTCTCTGCTGGAGGAGCTAGTTCTTTCCATATGCGCATCCCCGAGCCCCAGAGGGTTACACATTTATGGGCATAGTCAAACCATGGAGGTAAAGATGGTCCTGAACCCCTTGGTTCGGATTTTGGCACAACCATTGGCCCTGGAGTCTCTCTTCAGGAAACCACGACCATGCCACATTTAATGTAGGCGAGCCATGTTTTGGGATTGTTTGAGCGCAGAGTCACAATCAAAACCGATTCGGACAAAGCCCCAGTCACAACCAGGTGTGGAATTCCGCCCTCATGATTCTTACATGATGTTCGGTAGACCCCTTTTAGTACCAGGTTTTGCTTGTGACTCAGATGTTCTCCTTTCATTGTTCTGGTGCAGTCCAACGGTATCACGCATCAACCATGAAACTCAAATCCGGCAGTACTAAATCAAATGGACATTCACATCCATCAATACTCAATCCAATGGAAACTCCAAGTTGTTCCCAGCAATACTCATGTCTGAACCACTTGATTTGGTGCATCATTCCTTTCCGGGGGGTTGGTTGAGGTGGGAGCCAATTTTATCAATGCCGATGCTTCCTCGAATTTGCATTGGTTCTAGATTGCTTGGTTGTTCCTCCCCATGTGCCAACCCCACCATCTTCAATATTGTGCGATGCGGTGGTAAGCTAGGTTATTCAGCTATGCCCTTTCTCACCCCTTTTTTGGGGAGGCTTCCCCTACAAAAAAAAGTAGACAAAAATAGGAACAAGAGTCGGGTACCAACTTCTAAGCTCTCAAATCTGGAGGACCTACTAAGTGGTGTTATTCTCGGCATGGCTTAGGTATGGCTCAAAACTCGACCCATATGGTTGGTTTTGGAGGGAGTGGTTTGTTTCTCAAAATTTTCGGGCTTGGCCAGAATATTTGCTTTTGGATTGGTGGAACGGGGTTTGTTTTTGGGGGATTGGTTTGTTTCTCAAAATTCGGGGACCCCCAAAGTGGTTTTCTTTTCGACTTGGCTGCCTATTCAACCAACCACATGAGGCCGTGACAACAGTCTGTGTAAGGCAGTTTATGCAAAAGGTGCACGATTGTTCTGTCAGGTATGAGGTTTGCCGTTTGCCTCTTGAGGCGGCTTGTCTGGAAATTACAATGATGGCGCTACCCATGCGCGCTAGAATGTAGTTTGCTTTTGGATTGGTGCTTAAGTGCACAGCTTTCATTGGGGGATCGAGAGACTGTGAATATTCATGTCCCACCAGGTCCCACCGGCCTTTTCACTGGAAATATGTCAGACGTTTTGGACTTGAGTCAAACAAACAACAGCACCCCACGAAAAGATGCAAACAGTACCTGGAGTTCTCTGGTCAAGCTGCGATTTAAATCGCCTTTCGATCCTTTTTAGTTGGTTTAGTTGTTCAAATTTCGTTCAGTTGATTCAGTTGGTTTGGTTTGAAGCTCTCTACTTGGAGACCCTGTTTTTGTTGGTTCCCTTTTTTCTTTTTTCTTTTTTGCGGGTGTCCGAATTTCACCCAGAAAGTTCACCAAAAACCGCGGTGGAGCACCGGCGGTCTTGCCGGTTGAGGACTCCAATAGTCGGTCCTTGCAGCTTCGGCGCGCCACTTAACGGACGCATGGGACAGCTGGGAGCGGTCATGTCATGTCAGGATGTATCTATGGGACCCCTGTCAATGTCTAGGTTCATGTTAGTTGCACTTGAAATGTGTGTTTTTTTGGTTGAGTTGGTGCCAGACATGTTTTAGTGGGTTAAAGTGAAACCTAGAGGAACATCCATCAAGGGGGTTTGGTTACAGGATAATTTACAGGACATGGCCCAAAAACACTGCAAATAAGCTGCTTTCCTGTGGAATTTCCTGTACCTAACACTTTGAACCCAAACAAAAACTTAGTGGGTTCCCTAAAGGACACACCATGGCTTTGTCTCGAAGGACTCCAAGTATTCTTTTCAACCATGGCTCTTTTCAAACACCTGATCTGTTTTTGTGGGGTTTTTGGCGGTTTTCCTGAAAGACTCGGATCCCTGGGTTTAGAATGGAACTGGAAGCTGCCCGAACTGGCTTACCAGCGGGGAGGGGTGTAACGTCTCCATTCAGAGCGCCAAAGAAATGCATCCCATGTAGATCCTTGGTGTTCCGCTTGGGGATCAAGCTGTATGGCCATTCGGTAATGGATCTTTGGACTTGAACTTGTTGCTTGAAACCAAGGGTTTTCCAGTGAACCCACGAAAAGTGAACAACTTTTGCGCAGGGGTCAACAGTAGCCCAGCAAGCAGGATTCCATGTTTTAAGCCTTGCTCAAATCCTGGAACTTTCCTTTTGAGGAACTCGACCAATCAAAACCAGAACCGCACCCTGCCACATCAGTTGAACGGCCCAGAGGGGCAGTGGCATTCACAGATGTCCATGGATTGTGAACGGGCAAGCAAAAGCCAGAGACGGACAACTGGTTGCTTGGATGTCGTGCTATTTTTTCTTGGTGCGGTGCAACGCATCATCCACGGGGTAAGAGCAAACGATTGCTGTTTGTTTCGTCCACGCGCGTCCATGTTGTACGGCCGCTTCAGACTGATTTGTGGGTGGCATCCTAAAACATACAAACATGGGTAACACCAAACTCGAAATTCGGAGTTCTACCTCACCAAACAAGGAGCAAAAATATCGCTCACACAGACGACTTGGCTGCCAGAAGACCTCAACCGCAGAGTACTTGTGTGAAGCAACTTGAAGCAGTCGTTTCATTTAGCTTGGTGGTTCATCCTTATCTTTTACCTGAAGAATATTCACATGTGTATGCTTGTATAAGTTATAAATATATAGCACGGAAAAACGCCGTTGCACATGGTCAATGTTGGGATTCCTTGCTAATTTCCGGGGAAATACATCTTCGATGTACTGCAAAATCAGGATTGAGCACGCGACGACTTTCCGCGTGTTCCGGACAAGTGGCGCACAGTACCGAATGCTCAACAAGACATAGCACGGCTCCATTGATGTGCCAACGTGCTAAAACGGACATGCCTCAGAGCTTTGTAGCCACACTTTTCCACGCCTTAGTCCAAACGCCAATGAGAATTCAGATGGTGAAGTGGTCTTGTCTGGTTGCCGCTGGAAATCACGAAAACAAATGATATATTTCATAAGTCCCAGCAAATGGGGAAAGTTAACCTTGGTCAATTGGGGATCAATATTCATATGCATGGTTGTTGTTGGGAAACATTTTGCATTTTTGCTTATGATGGTTTAGTGGGAAATCCAACCACTTAACTGCAACACAAATAAATTTTGCTCCCCTTCCAACGTCAGCCAAGTATTGATCAACCCACATCACTAAAAACTCCTCCATCTTTGGGGCATCTCGAGCCTTGAGAGGTACAGCGGCCCAGACACCGACCATGTGGACACGGTGGTGCCTGGGCAGGCCGCTCCAAAATGTGGGGCTATATCCTGGCGAATGGGGCCAATTGCCCTCCATTTGCTGAGATGAATATGTTTATTTGACGGTCGTTCCCCCAGCGAAAGGGCGCCCGACCTCTCACCCAACTTTTTTGGTTGGGAGGGTTCCCTTCGTTCCCATACTAAAATCGACAAAAGGGAAAGAAGTTGGCACCCTTATTCTAACCACTCAAATCTGGAGGACCTCGTTTTTTTTTGATGTTCCCCTCCCTCAGGGTCCGATTCGACTGTTTTTGGGCCCTCCAAATGGGTTGTTGTTGAGCTGGTTTTGAGGAATTGGCCGGGGTTCTCCAGTGGAAGGTCCGGGGGTCTGCATTAGAGTTGTCATGACCCTTAGGGCTGTTGGTTTTTCGGAGAATGTATCACGATTGTTCTAGATTTTTCGCAGGGGACGAACACGCAAATGGAAGAATGGGGGTTAACAAACCCGTCGAATTATTTTCATCTTTGACAAGCATTGTTTATGTAGTCTAAGGAGTTTCATCATCTAAATTGGGTCCACCGTTTTTGTAGCGGGGGTGGAAGCATTGGGATGCGGTGGATGCACAAAGTCCCTCACCAGGCTCTAGATATATCCATCCCAGCTGGCGCGCCTGTGCGAGGGACCCCAACAAGTCCCTCTTGAAGGGACTCCCTGCGATCTGCCATTCCCGGCCTTCTTTGGGTGATGCCTTGTGTTTTGAAAAGGATCCGAGGTGCCAGTCTGGCGGCGGCGCAATAAATACGCCAGTTTGTTTTAGGTCCCCCACCCCTATTTTTGGGGGGAGGGTTCCCCTACTAAAATGGACAAAAGGGAAGCACAAATCGGTACTCATATTCTATCCTCTCTACTGGAGGGCCTAGTTTCCTCTGGCAATGGCCTCTGGCGGGAAGCCGCTTCGCACTTTTCTTTGGGCAAGCGTAGCCCGCATGTTTTAACTTCCCACCACGAACCCAAGGCTAGGCTATGTCTGTTTCAAAGCAAAACACCGCGCGGTGAGGCGCGCGCGAGGGCAGCTCTTAACGAAAGTCCGGTTCTTCCAGCTCCGGATTTGGAAAAAATACCACGTTCGCAGTGGGAAGCATCCTTTAATTTGGCTGTGGCTCAGAAAAATGTGCCAAAATGGCACCTTGGTAAATGGAACCAAAGACCAAAACCTGCGTAACCCCTGCTGCTTTAATTTGGAGCCACACCCATTTGGAGACACCTCAAAGTGTGGTTCGAGTTTTGGTAAGGAGCCCGCGGCTTTGTCCAAAAGGGAGACCAGCGATCGTTTTTCTAGGCCTTGATTGCATTTCCATTCTTTTCAGCGATCCTTCTTTGCATAAAAAGCCCGCAGGTGTATTTTTGTTGGTTTTCTAGAAAGAAGGATCCCTGGAAAGAATGGAAATGGAAGGTACCCCTGGAGGTTTGCGTTTTGGTTGGAAGGCGCTCGCGGTTTTGTCCCATCCAAAACTAGGTCCCCCAGCTAGGTGCCCTTTCTTACCCCTTTTTTGGGTGGGAGGGTTCCCCTACTAAAATAGACAAAAAAGAAAAAGTTTGTACCAACATATTTCAATCTCTCGACTGGAGGACCCTTAGCTTCCATGTGCTGAAATGTGATTGTTTGTCCGTTGTATTTTTTCCCTTGGTTTTAAAGGGAATCTATCACTCGACTGGACCTAGGAGACCAGCAGACCAGGACCTAGGATTATTTTTTATATGAATTTTGCCAAGTGGAGAATGAGACATGAAATGAACCCAAGGGTCCCCTTAAAGGAGGAGGCCCCCCCCAGTTTTTTCAGCGCGAGGTCCTCTTCTGCGACCCGGTGGTGCCCGCTTGCACGCGCCCGGAGCTGCAGAGCTGCAAGCAGCCCAAGTGCCAGGGTCTCAGCTCGCGAGAGCATCGCGCCGGTGAGGTCAGGAGGCTGGAGGTTTTTGTTGTTTTTGGTTGGGGGGCGTGTATACATATAGGTGCCAAAAAAAATTACAGCTGGGGCTACGCAGGTTTTAGTCTATCTTTCTATTTACCAGGGTTCCATTTCGGACCCCCAGTTTTGAGCCACTGCCATATGATATTCGAGTGACATTTGTCTTGGGGACCCCAAGAATCAGACCCTGATTTTCCAGCCACAAACCGGTTTTTTGCACCATAAACCAAAAGGTGAACAGTTACTAGATATGGCTGTGGGTCAAAATTACACAACCAGGGGACTGCAGGTTTTAGTCCTTGGTTTCTATTTACCAGGGTTCCATTTTGAGTACCTCTGTATACTAGGTCCCCCAGCTAGGTGCCCTTTCTCACCCCTTTTTTGATTGGGAAGGTTCCCCTGCTAAAATAGACAAAAACGAAAAGTTGGCACCAACTTATTTCAACCTCTCGACTGGAGGACCTCGTGCACATATTAGGGGGTTGATCCAAAGGCCCAATACATGGGATGACCATCAGGGAAACCACCCAAAAAGATGATATTTCCCACTAAGTGGAAAACAGTTGCATGGTGATTTTGGAGGGCAGGAATATAGATCAACCGTCATATATATATATATACATATATATATATATACATATATATATATATACATGTATGAACTCTTGCGGGAGGACTTGCATTCTGGATGGTTCCAGAAATCCAAAAGGAAGACCCATCCAAGTTTTGGGTTGGCCACCACTCTGAACGGCGCTCCTTTGGGGAACGCATCTTGAAGGGGTGTCTCCCAAAAAGGAAACCACCCATTTGGATGGAGGGGAAGAGGGACCCTAGAAACAGTCTCCTACGGTTTCCTTTAAGGGAATCCCCTTCCGGTTCATTCGACTCGTTGTCATTCTCGAGTTTCTTCCCCAGCTGAAAGCTAGGGCTTTGGTCTCTGCCCAGCTTTCAGGGAGGGTTCAAGAGGGTTTCCGCTGGTGGGGATACCACCTGACATATGCATGCGACATAGATTCCCACTCACGAAGATTCAGAGGGAAAGCCACTGGACTCGCTCATTCATGGAATGGTGTTTGTTTTGTGTGGCCATGCATGTTTACACTCATCATTTATGGTCAGGTTTACACACACACACGATTTGTGTGCGCATATTTTTGCGGGCCTGATCCTGATTATTGCTCTCTCTCTCTCTCTAATTCTCATATTCCACACTTAAATTTCAAGACCTAGGGTTACGCAGGCTTAGGTCTACTTTCCCACTTAGGGTTTTGCATTTTTTGGGCCCCATTTTTGAGCCAGCAACGTTTTTTCTCGCATGCCTGCCGTTGCCAAATCCCTCGGAGCCTCGGCTTTCTTTTGGCTCCGCGTGGTGTTTCGCGCTACTCAGGTGCAGCCGAAGCGGCTGCATCGGGGCCTGCACCGGGGCCTGCGCCGGCGGCTGCGCTCGGGAAGGAGCCGGTGATCCCCGCAGGCGGGGAGTTTGGGGAATGGCACCTGGGTCCCAACTGCCAGGGGTCCCTATATTTCCCTTTTTTGCTGTTTCGAACATCACCTTTTTGGCCCATGAAAGGTGAGTATCCCTTGGTGGGGGTGATGTTTTAAGGGGAAATATAGGGAGCCCTGTGCCAGCACCAGGGTTGTGGGATCTCTCTTCCAAGACCACGTGTGGGATCTCTCGGGTTTAGCCAACTGCGATACTTTTAATCTCCCCCTTGAACTGGGGGGTTAGCCTTTGGGAAGCCCTTTCGGGGTTTCAACTGGGGATCAAACTGGGGGTGGATCCAAGCACCCAAAGGGTCAATGCAGACCTTCTGACCCTCCAATGGAGAACCCTGACCAATTCCTCAAGGGCCCTCAACCCATTTGGAGGGCCCAAAAACAGGCGGGACCCTTAGGGCACTTCTGTAACAGGGCTCCATAAAAGATACATTTCGCCCACCACCACTTACAAGGCAATGTTCAGGTGTATAATGTAAGGATCCCTGTGTAATACTTTTGGGAACCTCCCAATTGAACCGGGGGGACTGGGGGGGTTCGCATTCGGGAAGCCCTTTCATGGTATGGTCATTTCCCACGGCCCTGCCCAGCACTCCCCATGTCCAAAAAGCAGTTGGCTGGTGGGTATGAAGTTTGATTGCGAAGCCTTTGGTGGACACCAGTGAAACGTGTCCCAATTCTTAGAATGGCATTGTGGAGCACTCTAAACGCAAGCATAGTTGTGATCGGAGGGGTATACTGGTATACTGTATATACTATTAGTAATCACTTGGTCTCTTCCAGTGGACGATGGGAAATATGCAGTATCTTTGAGCGGCTGTTAGCGCCTTTTCATTTAAGCGCCGCCCCACCGGGCGCCATTGACACTCCAACCAAGGTACTACTAGGTATCTTTCAGGGGGCCCTTACTGGTACGTTGGGGGTTGCCAGCAATGCTTGGACAACTTCTTTAGCCCTGCCCGGCATTGCAGGGACGGTCCATATGCAATTCCACTAATTAAGGCTCAGATGTGTTTTGGCTTCGTATTTCTAAGCCCTATATCTGAGATGCAGGCAATTGCAGCGCTCGCACTGTACAAGATTTGAGTGCATCAGAAACTCGACTACATGTGTAGAGGGTCGCGCCAAAGAAACACAGCCACCCCAGAAACATGTATGTTTGTCTCTCCCATACTTGAGCACTGTGGGCGAATTGCAAGTGTAATGCATGTGGTGCTACGTATCATTGAACGATAATTGAGAATTCCCGACGCTTGCCAGCATTTTCATCGATGATCGACAACACTTGGTTCTTGCTGACTTGCGTTTGCTGCCAAAAGAGCACAAGCACGAATTACATCTCCCAGCTGATACACGCTGCAAGCCCACAAACTCGTGGAGCAGCCGCACTGGGTAGCATCCGGAGATCTATCACCAAACAAATTGAGAAAAGCTGGTGGCTCCTGTGGCTGTCAGTGTCAGCTTTCCTTCATGAATGTGTTGAGTGATCACCCCTTCGTTGCACCTTGATCTTGGCAGAGGCGTAGATGAACAAGAATGCACCAATGCTTCTTGTTTGCGAAAGGTGACGGCTGAGCGTGGATCTTTTCGGCTGATAGGACCAGTATTTGGCCATAGCCCGGGATATGCGTACAGTACCCTCCCCTAACATGGAAGCTCCCACCTTTGAAAGCCTCGGTTCCATTTCCCGAGGCCTCTGTTCGCTCCCGTCTGTTCGTCCCGGAACGTGTAAGCCTTGTGGGGTTTGCTTCCATACTCTTTTCATCTGGGGTGGACTTGGGATACATTTTACATTTTACCAGTGACTCAAAGCGAAGCAAACAATAACATATACATTCTATAGCTGGGCCTAACTCTAATCATGTCGCATCCTGGAGGGGACCCACAGATGCGAACCACCCACCGTTTTCGAGCTTTGACTAGGCCACCCAGCCAGGTGCCCTTGCTCACCCTTTTTTGGGGTTTTGGGTTCCCCTACAAACAGAAAAAAAAAGATGAAAAAACGGGTACCCTTATTCTATCCTCTCAAATCTGGAGGACCTCGTAAAAAGGGGAACAATTTCCTGAGGGGGGTCCCCTTAGACGTAAAAAAGGGGCCATGTTTTTTTCCCGTGACCCCCCCAATGGTAAGTAATCCAGAAAATCTCTGGGGGGGTCCTCCTCACCGAGCAGGGGGGGCTTTAAAATCGATTTATCCTTCCGAGAGGGGCATATTAAAAATCCGGAAAATGGCGTTTTCGTGGGATCCGGCGAGCTCCTCATTGAGCAGGGGGGTTTTCCGGCCCACATGGGACCCAGGACGTAAAAAGGGGGTTTCGCCAAGTCCACTGGGGGACGGGGGTTAGTCTCTGGGAAGCCCTTTCATGGTATCATTTCCCACGGCCAGCACTGTCCAAAAAACCGTTTTCTAGCTTTGAGCTTGGCCACGGACCAAGAACTTTCGGACGGATTCTTGTCGCCCCAAGCCGCGCCGAAAGCGTGCGGCCGAGAGGTTGGCGAGTGGCCCAGATGATGGAGGCTCCCATGGAGGCGCAGGCGCTGAGCGATCTTTTGTTTTTTGTCCTTCTTATTTCTGTGCTTTCCTTGCTTGTTTTGTTCGGTCTTTTTGTTTTCACGTTTATATAATATATATATATATATATACACATATAATTAGTTCTGTTTATGTGTTCCTTTTGTTTTTTCTTTTTCTTGCAGTATTTGTTTTTCTCAGAGTGCAAGCACAGAAGACGGCCGCCGCCGAGAAATTTTGAAGTTTGGCGCTAAAAGAATCGGTATGTTTTTTTTGTTGATAAATTTATCAACATGGCTTTGGTTTTCTTTGAAACCAAAAAGGGGGTACCAACTCAAAAAAAAATGGATAGATCCACTATGTCCCCCAGTAGTGCCCTTTTTCACCCTTTTTTGGTTTTGAGGGTTTTCCTTACTAAAATAGACTACAGACAAAGGTTACCCTTATTCTAAGCTTTCTACTGGAGGACCTGGGGATAATCTCAACATGGCTTCGGTTTTCTTTAAAACCAAATCCACAAATTTGGGTACCAACTCCAAAAAAACAACTGGATAGACCCATAGGTTTTCTAGTCCATGAGTTGCATGCAGGTTATGCATCCATGGCCTGGGTCAAGGGCACAAAAGACGAGCTGCCCATGAGCCACTTGCTCAGGACCGAAAACCGGGTAGATGAAGGTGAATAATCCTTGGTGCATTTTGCTTGGATGTTGGGACTTTAACTTTTTTGCCAACTAATGGGTTTCCATTAAACCACTAAAAGTTAAACTTTTAGCAGGGGAGCAGAAAGCAACCAAGTAATCTAGGGGACACTTCCCCGTTCTTTCCAGGGATCCGAGTCTTTTCAGAAAACCAGCAGAATCCAAGGGGAAGCAGATCCGGTTTTTGAAAAGAACAATGGTTGAAAAGAATGGGGAATCAACCCAAAGAAATAAGGGATAATCCCCAATATATGGGTGCGGATATCCGCCTTGTTGTTTCGTTACATTTGTCTGTGTGGACTATTTTACTACCAGGCCTTGATTTTGACTCAGATGGCTGAACTTTCCTGGAAGAGCAGGGGTCCTTGGTTTTTCACGTGGCTTGATCAAGGGAACGATCTACCCAAGACCTTGCTTTGCTTACAGTGCTCGCTTAGCTGCCTGCAATTTCCCGGGGGGCCATGCTTGGTTACTCATCCATGTGTAGGTCCGCTCTCTTTTGCGCAGTCTGCTTTTGAAGTCTGCTTGAAGATGCTGGACCACTAGTTCGGCAGGTGTGCTTCACACCACGGGCTGCTGAGTTGGACTAGGTGCCTACGGTTTGGTCCAAGTGGACTTGGGCGCCCGAGTTGTTTCCATCCGAAACCGGTTCTTGGACCTCAAGTTGCCTTTGATCTGACAAGCAGCGATCCGTCTCCCGGGAACCGGGGCGGGACCTGGTTCCCGCCACTGGGCCGAGGGACAGTGTCTTGGCTTTTTTGACGGTACCCCCCTTTCTTGTTGGGTGTAAAAAGAAACTGTGGCCCAAATCCTAAAAAAGCGGCACACCCTGATATGAGTGAACTGCAACATGTGCCATCCGCTGCTGTTTGGGCCAGGCCGCACACTGAGAGAAGCATCTCACACTGCGACGCTGGCTGAGATGCCTGCGGGGAAACAGCCGCATGAAGGTGTGTTTCTGCTGAGGGTACCTCGATTCGAAGGGAAACCAAAAGGAAACCCATCATTTTGGGGGTCCAAATCCCTACGCCACCAAAATATCCGGTATTGCAAAGCTTTTCGAGCGAAGCCGAAACTCGAACTTCTCGCCGTTTCGACACCAAGTGGTGCATTTCAAGCTTCTAAAAGAAGAAGAAAAAAAGGAGGAGGGGGTTCCCTTCAAAATGAACCAATAAAAGAGTGCCCCATCCACTGGAAGTTTGGTGGCGGGCCATGTGGATGACGCCTTTCACAGCCTGCGGTGCTTTGACCATGGGCAAGCCATACATGTGGCCATGGATAAAGGGAAGCGGAGGCTATTGAGAGAGGGCATCAGACACAATCCATGTGGCTGCGGCCTTGGGAACAAAACGGACCTGTTCAAACCTAACTGTGTGCCTTGCGAAGAGCGAAGGCCAACTGCCAAGGGCTACGGCCGTGCATTCTTGATGGTTTAAAAAGGGGTATGCCAGTTGCCTTTGTAGCCTGATCCATTGCTTCAGTGAGACCATTTAGCGTTTCATTTACTCACCCCAAAGTCCTTCCCTACTTTTTGGTGGTGCATTTTCCGGTGTCCAAGTTCAGGATCAAAGGAAACAATGCAAGCAAAGTAACCAAAGCAAGGGAATGGACAACAACAGAGCAACTCAACGCAACCGCAAGTCTAGAGGTTTCATGGATCCTTCTTTTCAGGAACCCCCCCAAAGAAAAAGCGTCGGGGGAACAGCGATCGGTTTTTGAAAAGAATGCGATCGGTTCTGTTTGGAATCAAGCCCTAGAGTCCTGAAAGGCCCAAGATTCTTGGGAAGTTCCTTTGGCTGTATTATTTTGCCATGATCAAGGTCATCCCCTAAGTGGTGGGTTAAAGGGAAATAAACCCGACAGATGAGGCCTTGCTATAACCTCCATCAGACTAGCTGCTATGGGAGGTTGCTAAGGGATAGATCAAGATTGGTGCTAACCCTAGGGCCCCCAGTAGTGCCCTTTCTCACCCCTTTTTTGGTTGGGAGATTCGGTTCCCCTACCAAAATAGACCAAAAGGAAAAAAGTTGATACCCTTATTCTAACCTCTCAAATCTGGAGGACCTAGACTTAGCACAGCCCGTCACAGCCGAAGCAGCAACCACCGAGTCTTTGTGCCAGGCCAGAGGCTTCTCGCGCTGCGAGAGCGCCCCGGCGCATGGCCTCAGGGCGAAAAGCACAAGCCAAGACAAGTACATAAACCAAACTCTCCCACTGAAAGTTAAGCGTTTAGCCGAACAATTATTCGCACAGCCCAACCCTAGACAGGGTACTTGGAAGAAGCGCCCAAACAAATCCTGGGCTCAGGACCTCAAAGGCCCAAGAAAAAACCTCAAACAACTTCAGGCGTTGGACCGCGAATGGAACCACGGATTTCGGAGTAGACCATTTGCATATCCTGATGGATTTCGGAATAGATATGCTGGTGGTTGAAACGCCCTCAGAAAAAAGGACGTTGCACGCATATCCGGCCCGTAAACGTCACGCCTAGTTTGGTGAAGTTGGCTGTAAGTTGTTGTTCCCATTGTTGTCCACCTTCGGTGAATTTGGGAGGGGGGGGTAGTTTCCCACCGCGTCGGCTGTTAGGCGTCCCAATGAAGGACGTCTGGTGGTTGCACCTTGGTACCTTCGATTTTTTCAGGAAGTGGGGGTACCCAGTTTTATTTGAAGGGGAGCGAAAGGTAGACCTCCCCCTCAATTTGACTGTGGGGTCGATGGACATCTTTCAATTGATTGGACACTGCCGTGTTTTAAGCGGCAGGGTCTCATCAACTTCACGTAGAGAGCCACCGGAAGGGTTTAAAGGACCAAGAGGTTAGACCGCTGAATTTGGTGAGCAAGAACCTCACCGGTTAGAGGGGCTGCATCACTCTATAGCTTTTCAAGGTGATGTCTAGCATGTTCTCATTTTCACTTTGTTTGTTGCCGAGTTTGATTCCGAAAGCACAGATAAGGCCTGGGTTGCAAGTAGTTGTTGCAAGGAGATACCCAAGGAATCCAGATGAATGTACTTCCAAGGCAGCTGGGCGAGCGGAAGTTTTGGTACGTCTGTTGAAGCTTCGATTTGTGTTTGCGCTTCTTGGTGGCTGGCTGCGGTACTCTCAAGAATCATGGAACTGGAGAAGGGGTGTTTTCAACTAGGTCCCCCAGTAGTGCCCTTTCTCACCAACTTGTTGGGTTGGGAGGGTTCCCCTACGAAAATAGACTACAGAAAAAAGTTGGTACCCTTATTCTAACCTCTCCACTGGAGGACCTAGGAAGCCATGACTGAACACATTTCCCTGACTCCAGCTGCGGTCAGGTTCAGCAGGCAATTCCTGAAGGACTTTTCTGAAAAGGGAATTACCACGAGCCTGCCAATTGGTTTATTGATGAGTTGGAACACTATTCTTTTTCTAAATCTCCAATCATGCACTGGGGTCTAAATCTATTTACCTCATTGGTGCTTTGATCATTGCTCGCAATTGCCCCCCCTGGTGTTTCTCTCACTTGTGACCTTCACTCCGATCCGATCCGGCCGGATCGAGGCTCTTGCGGCTCGGCAGGACTCGGTTGCGCCGCAGTGGCAGCTTCTAGTACTCATCATGAGTTTGATTTTCCGAGAGAGGCCTGGGTTGCAAGTAGCTGCAAGGAGATACCCAAGGAATCCAGATGAATGTGGGTCAAAAGCAAAGGCATCCCATTTTGGGGTAGGTGCACCACCCATTTTAGTACCTATTTTAGTGGGGATTGGGATGTTCACTGGGGGTACGATTTGGATTTTGACCCATGGCCACTTTATTCTTCTTGTGGTTAAGTGGTTGAAATCCAACCACTGAACTGCTAAAATTTAATTGTTTGCTCCCCTTTCAACGTCCACCAAGCCATGGGTTTGTGTCGATGTATGCCGAAAATGGTAGCTTTTCAAAAACCAAACTACTGGCATCCAGCTTAAGCCACCATGGGTTTGTTTCAATAGCACGAAAGTGGCGGCTTGCCGAAAACGCGCACACCAATCACCAAACTGCCAGTCAAAGACAGAGCCATGTTTTTTCTCAAGAGCCAACGTGGCATGGGATGCCTTCCACCAGACCTCGAAAGAACTGCCGAAGGAGCTGACAGCCTAGGTCCCCCAGTACAGTAGTGCTCTTTTACCCTTTCTGGGGGAGGGTTCAAAAACTAGAATAGACTGCACAAAAAAGTTGGCACCCTTATTCTAACCTCTCTACTGGAGGACCTAGCAGCTTTGTCTGTTCAACATCTCATCCTTGGGTTACGAAAATTCCCTTCGGCGCTATCCAACAGGCATGGATTCGGATTGGCCAACCAGCCACACGCCTCGGGACCGAAGAACTTGTTGGGCGACGTGGGGGGCCCTCCTGGGCCTTCACTTCGGTGCAGCAAAAACATGGTGCCTACGAGCCCAGCGCTCGGAGGTAGTTCCGGGCTCACGATCACTTGTCTAGGTCCCCCAGCTAGGTGCCCTTTCTCACCATCTTGTTGTATTTTAGGAGGGTTCCCCTACTAAAATAGACTACAGAAAAAAGTTGGTACCCTTATTCTATCCTCTCTACTGGAGGACCCAGTTGTATTTGTTTCCCTGACATTCCGGCTTGGAGTGTTGATTTGAACGGAACCTTCAGATCAAATCCAAGCTTCGCACAGAACTGTCGACCTCTCCCCGTAGGACCGCGAGAGACGAGTTGCCTGGGAAGGCCGGGAGAAAGTTCCTGACTGAGGAGACCCTGTGCCAACCCAAACTGGTTCTTCCATTTGCTGAAACGAATTTGCGTTTTGTTTCCCTTGTTGGTTTTCAAGGGAACCTGTCGCTAGTGGAAACATATATGCCTAAGGGTCATGACCCCTCCTATGCAGACCCCCTCAAGCCCTGCAATGGAGAACCCCGGCCAATTCCTCTCAACAACAACCCATTTGGAGGGCCCCAAAACAGTCGGGACCCTTAGGGATACAAATTTTGTGCAGGGGGCCTATACAAGCAAATGGAAGTGTTTCTCCGTCTTGGTTTTGCCCAAACTTGGCTGGGCCGGAAAAACCGGGCTCTTCGATACCACCCCCCAAAACCTTGAGGCAGCTTTGGGATCGATCTGGGGGGCAACAGGTCAAAGGTTTCGAGGCGGAAAGACTCGCTGCCATCTGGTTCTAAGAATAGTGTTTACTTTCCCCTGTTGATTTTAAAGGGAATCTGTCACTACCTGGTACTTGTTTTTTTTTTGTTCCAGGGGGTTTAAGCCAATGGAGGCTCGACCTCCAGATGGAACCTCAAAGGGTCCAGAGCCGTTTTTTGGTGCCAGGCACCGGGAGCACCCCAAGCACATCGGCACGCACCCCAACGCGTGGCTTCGTGCCTGTATGGAGCCAAACAGGCCGGTGTGCTTGGAGGAGGGTTTGCTTGACCAGCGCAAGCCGTCCTCTTCGCTTTCCGAGCTTCTTGCTTTGTCAAGATCAGGCCTCAGGCAAGAATCGCCGAGATTTAAGACTGGGCTGCTTGTGTGGGAAGCTCAAAGCAAGGGCGAAGTTGTTTTGCACTTCTTTGTCCAGCTGGTTTAGCGTCTTCTCAGGAGTTTCCTGCTCAAGGTTTGCTATTGAATTCAGAGGAGACGTCAGTCATGTACTGCTTCGCCGAGCCAGCGGTGGGACGGAGAATCGGAGTTGGGACTCGTCCAAAGACCTAGGTCCCCCAGCGAAAAGGGTGCCCTTTTACCTTTTTTTTGGGGGGGGATAGACGACAGAAAAAAAATAAATGTTGGTACCCTTATTCTAACCTCTCTACCGGAGGACCTAGAAGATCACTTCACACAAACTGGTTGCGCAGATTGCCAACTGCGAGGAGTTACTGTCGCATTTTCTTTGTGTGACTCTTTTGCTTCAACTTTTCGTACGGAAGTTTTCCAACTGAACTTCCTTTGGTTATAGGGGAAGCAACTTCCATAATTTTTGTCTGCGGATCGGTCAATTCTTTGAGTCTTATTTTACACATCCTGTGGCGCACCATACTGCCGAATCAATCTATGCACATCTTCATATTGGGAATATTGGGACCCCCCAAATCTTTGGTGCAGTTGTCTTGGATGTTAGGACTTTAACTTTTTGCCAACTGATGGGGTTTCCATTAAACCACTAAAAGTTAAACTTTTAGCAGGGGAGCAGAAAGCAACCGAGAAATGGTGGCTTTCCTTTTCGCTTCCCTTTGCGCCAACCCCCAAAAAGGGTACCCTCCAAATCGAATGCTTGAACTCTCGGCTGCTTGCTGTGATTCTCCCATGGCGTAGCTGCACCCTCAAGAAGAGTAGGGCAAGTGCGTTTCCGATGTTGTGTGTTGGTGTTTGTACTGTACTGTGGTTTATGTTTAACATGTTTGTGTTTGTGTTTGCGCTTGTTTTTGCGTGTGGTGTGTGATTGGCGACCGTTCACATGTGTTTATCATATTTTTTCAATCAGGTAGTTGGTTGAGTTGTCCGTTTCATTTGTTCACAAATGCTTGTGGTATATGATGAAGCGCAGATGCCAAAAAGGCCTGCTTTGCACGCCTCAGGGGACAAGCTCACGCCGCCCAAGCTGGCGCTGCAGCATCATATCCAGGCGGTTAGCGGCTGCAACACTTGGATTTGATGTGCTATGTAGTTCACGTGTGGCACGAACTGATCAGTAAATGCCCTTCACCCGCCATCAATGAAACGTGCTCACAGACTCGCGGCCCACAATTCCCATCCAAATCACTTTCCGTATTGAATTGCCAGACTCAAGTTATGGAGTGCTGGATTCTTCGCATAATCACATTCGACCACTTTGATGTTGCACGTTTCATGGCAAGATTATCCATTTTGTTCGGAATTTCTTGGACATGAGAACAAGGCGTGGCAAATTTCGTTGCAAATCTTATGATACCCTGACCATTTCCCAAAAATGTCCAGTGAGTCTCCTTTAGGTCATCGATTCTTCCCCGGCTTTTCGAATCCATCGACCCTACGAACTCGGCGATGCAGGCTTTTCATTTGGGTTCCCACCGTTTTCAATCTTTCAGTCGCAGGTTTCGCAGCAAATGAGGCTATGGAGGGGATAAGGCACCTGGGGCCACTTGCTCAAAATTTGGGCAGATGAAGCTTGGGAAGGACGGATGTGGGGTCCCGAGCATTTTAACAGGGTTGTGTCTCGGGGCAGTCTCAAAAATATGTCCGCTGGTTGGACGCTACCGTCTTTTAAAGGGAATGCAACAAGGACTCCCCCCTAATTTTGCAATCCCCCACTTGCAGGGAATAAATTCAGAAAGGTGGCAGCATTTGTAGAAGACTGCGCGCTGTGCCGTGTATGGTACGCCACCCAAAATGGTGTACATCGCACACTTAGCGCCACCCAGGAGCTGACACCGCCAAGAAGAAAGCAGGGGGCAAACGAGAAATAATGAAAATTATGCCTTTTTGGAAGGCCTGGACATGCCTGGAAAAACATGGAAATTGCATTTTCATTGTTTTGGAGGGCCTACAAAAAGGGAAAAAACATAAAGAACAAAAAATGGGGGCGGGAGGGGGGGAGAGGGGGAAAGAACAAAATAATACTAATCACGACCCGCCCCCCCCCTCCTCGTCCCCTTCCTGGCCCGTCCCCCTTCGCCAATCCGCTTAGTGCTAACACTAATAATCGTCATAGTAGTAGTAGCAATATTAATGAAGCTTGCCTTCCCCTCTCAATAATAATATTGTTTCCCCCCCTTCCCTCTTCGCTTCCTTCCCGTAAGCAATGATAATCCCCCCCTCTCGCCCCCTTCTTTAGAAAAGGGTGCGGCCTCGAAGAAGGATATCGATGTTCCAGGTAGTTCCCTTCCGCAAAACGTACAGACTCTGCTCGGAAGGTGATGACAGTGGGCACGCGCCCCAAATTGCCATCCGGAAAGATCAGTAACTCACCGACTCACCAAACCCCTTCTCGGTTAGGAACGCTGAAATATGTATATATATATATAGATATATCTATGGAACTGTCTAAGCAGCTTCGCCTTCCCCGGATTCAACTTGATGAAATTGCCCAACATTTGGCCCTCGATTCGGTCAGGATCCAAACATGGACCCCGCCTATTTTGTGGTGAGCTTGGGGCAAAACGAGATCACTATGTAGGTCCTTTACTATGTAGGTGTTGTTGTTGTTTTTGTTTTTCCCCGGCCGTCTGCCAAGCGCAGGGCGGCAGCGCGGAGGGGGACGCCCCCGGCATGCCAGAGCCTTGAGACGGAGTGCCGACCTGGTGGCTCCCGATCGAGGCCTGCCATTTGTTGTTGGGTCTAAAATCATTTGGGGGTTGATCAAAAGGTCTTTTGCATGGGATGACCATTGGGTATTCTGTTTCTAGGGTCTGAAATCATTTGAGTCACTCGCTCAAAACGCCGGGTAAGTGAAGGTGAGTAAGTGAAAGACCCAGCCAGAATTAGTTGTGGCCGTCTTTCTAGTTCTTTGCATGGTTCTGTGTTAATCTTTCTTGTACCGGGTTTTGATTATGACTCATTTGGGGGTTGATCAAAAGGTCTTTTGCATGGGATGACCATTGGGTATTCTTTTTCTAGGGTCTCAAATCATTCGCCGAGTAAGTGAAGGTGAGTAAGTGAAAGACCCAGCCAGAATTAGTTGTGGCCGTCTTTCTAGTTCTTTACATGGTTCTGGGTTAATCATTATTGTACCGGGTTTTGATTATGACTCATTTGGGGGTTGATCAAAAGGTCTTTTGCATGGGATGACCATTGGGTATTCTTTTTCTAGGGTCTCAAATCATTCGCCGGGTAAGTGAAGGTGAGTAAGTGAAAGACCCAGCCAGAATTAGTTGTGGCCGTCTTTCTAGTTCTTTACATGGTTCTGTGTTAATCATTCTTGTACCGGGTTTTGATTATGACTCATTTGGGGGTTGATCAAAAGGTCTTTTGCATGGGATGACCATTGGGTATTCTTTTTCTAGGGTCTCAAATCATTCGCCGAGTAAGTGAAGGTGAGTAAGTGAAAGACCCAGCCAGAATTAGTTGTGGCCGTCTTTCTAGTTCTTTACATGGTTCTGGGTCAATCTTTCTTGTACCGGGTTTTGATTATGACTCATTTGGGGGTTGATCAAAAGGTCTTTTGCATGGGATGACCATTGGGTATTCTTTTTCTAGGGTCTCAAATCATTCGCCGGGTAAGTGAAGGTGAGTAAGTGAAAGACCCAGCCAGAATTAGTTGTGGCCGTCTTTCTAGTTCTTTACATGGTTCTGGGTCAATCTTTCTTGTACCGGGTTTTGATTATGACTCATTTGGGGGTTGATCAAAAGGTCTTTTGCATGGGATGACCATTGGGTATTCTTTTTCTAGGGTCTCAAATCATTCGCCGGGTAAGTGAAGGTGAGTAAGTGAAAGACCCAGCCAGAATTAGTTGTGGCCGTCTTTCTAGTTCTTTACATGGTTCTGGGTCAATCTTTCTTGTACCGGGTTTTGATTATGACTTATTTGGGGGTTGATGAAAAGGTCTTTTGCATGGGATGGCCATTGGGTAAAACCGAGAAACAAATGATATGTCACCACAAAACGGGAAATCTTACCCATGCTTGGGGGGTTGATTATTCCTGGCCTCCAAATGACCAAGGTAACTCCATGTGGGAAAGATCAATTCTTTCTTGTGGTTTTGGCCGTTTAGTGCTTTTCACCAACCCCCCCAGTTCGTCTTTTTCCGTCCTTAGGCTTTTAGATGCTTTTTCTTGGTTTAGTGGTTGGGTTTCCGATTTTAACCCACAAGTTAGTCACGTTTAGCAGGGGATCTGAAAACGGACCGCCCAGAAAAACGTCTCCAAACTCCCAACACTTGGGACAATACCAAGCATCTTGGACATGGGGGTGCTGGTAGGAACCCTTTGTCGACAAACTGAAGGAACCCAGAAAAGACAGAGTCACGATGACAACCCGGGACATTGGAGTTGGCTGGGCAATCCCAGCGATAAATCAGTGCGGAGATCCGCCTGTTCAACCCTTACATGGTTCTGGGTCCCGATGTTTAATTCCAGGTTTTGACTATGACTCCCATGGGTATGGGTCAAAATGAAACCATCAGACAACCGCAGGTTTTTTGGTCTTTGGTTCCATTTGCCAGGGCAACCCATTTTGGGTACCTCTTTTTGACCCACAGCCACATGGGCGTCAGGCCCTCACCGAGGTATTTCCAGGTTCTTGCGTACTCCGATTTTGACTTCGGTGCATTTTGCCAAGGGTTGATCGAACTTTAACTTTTTGTCAACTTATGGGTTTTCCGTATTAAGCCACTAAAAACGAGTCACTTTTCGCAGGGGAGCAGAATTCGCAGCCGATTTTTGCGACTCAAAAGTTGCGAACACTTCGGAGCATCCGAGGCACGGGCACTGCAAAGACGTGGACGTGGAAGACGGCTTGGAGCGGGGCATTGGCCACGGCAGGCGGATGGACTCGAAGCCGCTGGCGGAAGGGCGGTCGGCGGCAAACCAAACGGGGCACCTTTCGGGTTTCGGGTTGGCCGCTTGTCTCTAGAGGGGAAAGCTTTGCCAGAATGAGCTCCCTTTTTTGTGGTTTTTTGCTTTTTTGGGATCCCCTTTGTTCTCCACCAACCAGGCAAAAACAAAAGTAGTTGCTGGGGTCCTAATTCCAGCCAAGAAAGGTCACTGGTTGCAACTTGCGCCAGCAACCAAGGGAAGTTTCCCAGCCTCACGAAACTTTTGTGCTGCCATCCCCTTTGTGTTTTTAGGTTCTAGGTCCCCCAGCCAGTCGTGCCCTTTCTCACCCCTTTTTTGGTTGGGACCCCTACTAAAATAGACTACAGAAAAAATAAGTTGGTACCCTTATTCTAACCTCTGTACTGGAGGACCTAGTCTTACTTCCTGAGATCATGGACTTTTAGCTTCCGTGCGCTATTTTTTGGGTTTTGGGCTTTTATTTTCCCTTGTTGGTTTTAAAGGGAATCTATCACTGTGGGATATTTTTTTTCCGGGCGGCTTAAGCAACTGGATTTGTCGCTCACGTTTGGGAAGACGGCATGTTAGTGTCATACAAACATTTGGGAGCATTGTTTGGGCCATCCACTCGTGAGAATTGGATGTTTCGCAGCTCTTAGTGGCCTTGTGGGTCATTGAAGCAGCCAAGAGTCTTTTCCAAAGAGAAACAGTGGAGTTGAGCCCCCTTCATTTGCGCAAAATGCAACATCAGATAGTCCGGGGCAAAAGGGTCTTGGCAGTTGCGTCCATTCCTCAGGATTCATTTTTTAGTTGCTCCGCCGCTTTTCGAGTGTAGACCTCCGGTGCTTGGATGCTTCTCGACAAAACGAGTGCCTAACGGCTTGCTAACTTGTCAGACCCTTCCTATGAGGAAAGCTGGCAATCAGAAGCTGTGTTTCCCTGTTTTCCAAAACCGAACCTAGCAGCGTGCTTGTTTTCATTTGGGTTCCAGATGGTTTCAATCTTTAATTTGCAGGTTTTGGAGCAAATGAGGCTATGGTAAGGGGCAGTCCCAGGCGGAAATCGGTGCGGCCAGCTTTTAGTTTCCTTACATGGATTTCGGTCCCGACCATTGTCATACCAGGTTTTGATTGTGGTTCACCTTTTGTGAAAACAGCCGTTGTGGGAGTCGAGCCATGTTTGCAATCGTGGCACTTCGGGCACGTAGGATGGTGGGACTTTTTGCAGTCTCCTCCAATACGGCCCTGAAGGGGAACCACCTCAAATGTGGGGATGGTCAATATTCCGTTTGGCCCCCAAATGACCGTGGGTAACATTTCTCATTTAGTGGGACATATCATGGTTGTAGTGCGGTTTTCCAATGGTCATCCCGTACAAAGGAACTTTGATCAACCGCCATGTCTTTAGGGCACATGAGTCCCTACCTACATGATATCCACCAACCGGTCCAAAATTCAAATCCACGACCAGGTGATTTCATCGTTGGTGGGTGAAATGGGCGTTGAACTGCTCATTTGTTTCCATTTTTGTCTTGGTGCTTCCCAGCCATCCGGTTTTTTTAGGTTTCAGGTGCCTTGGTGTAGTGCTAGTTTCCACTAAGCCGCAAGTGAAGCTTGTCGCGGATTCGGGAACGGTCTAAGCCGGCCACCGGGAACTGGAGACACGGCCGCCCGGCGAGGCGCTACGTAGGGTCCCAGGACCACCTCTTGAACGGCACAGCGCTGCTGGATGCGCGCACGGCCCATGGCAACGTCAAGGAGCCGCACGACATCTGAACCGATTCCAAGGGCCATGTCGGGTTGGGCTCCCACTGTACCTTGGTAGTATTATGGTAAGGCTATCCGATCATCCCTCCCCTCCTTGCTGTTGGGCCAAGACTGAAGTGTGGCAGAAGGTGCAGCAAAAGCGGCAGGCGGATCAGGATTCAGGATTGATTATGTATGTTCGGGCCAGTGTTTGGATCAGGATGCTTGAATGTTTCTACTCCAGTCTTGCGCAGCTGTGTCCCGATCTGGCAGTGGCATCCGGGAGCCGGGAGGTGATGAAATCGCTCTGGCCAAACCACGTGGCCCTGGACAGGTACCCCTGGTATTCCACTGAAAAGTATGCCCGTGTACCATTCATGCACCCATTGTGTGTTTGGGCTTCCATGGTTTGCAGGGGCACCTGGAAATGCTTGGTTACCTTCGATAGTGTCATTGATTTGACTTCTGGCAATGGCAGCCCCTAAGTGGGAGAGCCATTGGCTCACAGAAAAACCAACGTGTGGCGTGCATGATTTGCGTTCATCATTCGCAAACCACAGTCGCTCAGAACACCACAGAGCGGGCTGCTTGGTAACTAAAGGGTTTCAAGTATTGGAGACGTTTGCGGATCCCGCAAAGCCATTTGCTCCCGGGCTATGCCTTCACAACACGTGATCTACTGCCTGCGTTACCTACATTGTACTGGCCTTCAATATTCAACAAACCACTACTCGGATCGACTCTGATTTAATAGATGGCTTGAATCCAATGCTTCGCAGTAATGAAGTTGGCAAAGCTCGAGCCATCTGCTGCGAGATTTGGTCCCCCAGCTAGGTGCCCTTTTACCTTCTTTTTTTTTGCGAGGGTTCCCCTACTAAAATAGACAAAACAAGAAAACACATTGGGTACCCTTATCATGATTGTTGTTGGGAAACATTTTACATTTTTGCTTCTGGTGGTTTAGTGGGAAATCCCCACTTAACTGCTAACATTTTAGTTGTTACTCCCCTTCCAACGTCAACCAAGTTATTCTAACCTCTCTACTGGAGGACCTAGGTGAGGTCTGGAGTGGCTTGCTAAGCCGTGGACAGGACTTGGGGAGGCATTTGGGCAGACAGCGGCGGCATGGGACAGCCGGGCAGCCAAGTGAGAGAAGGTCAAGTAGCCATCAGCCTGTTTGGGGTACCAGGAAACTTTGGAGCATTTTGCTTGGGTTTTTAGGACTAACTTTTTGCCAACGAATGGGTTTTCCAGCAAACCACTAAGAGTAGAACTTTTAGCAAAGCAACCGAGGCGAAAGGTCATGGATCTTTTCTCAGGATCTCCGTTGTCCGACGTCGTGTTGTATCTTAAGGTTGGAACAATGTGTTTGTTTGTTTGTTTGTTTGCTTGTTTGTTTGTTTGTTTGTTTGTTTGTTTTTTTGTTTGTTTGTTTGTTTGTTTGTTTGTTTGTTTGTTTGTTTGTTTGTTTGTTTCTTCTTTTTGTTTGTTTGTTTGTGTGTGCGTTTGTTTGTGTGTGTGTGTGTTTGTTTGTTTGTGTGTGTTTGTGTGTGTTTGTGTGCGTTTGTGTGTTTGTGTGTGTTTGTGTGTTTGTGTGTGTTTGTGTGTGTGTTTGTGTGTTTGTGTGTTTGTGTGTTTGTGTGTTTGTGTGTTTGTGTGTTTGTGTGTCTGTGTGTTTGTGTGTTTGTGTGTTTGTGTGTGTTTGTGTTTGTGTGTTTGTGTGTTTCTGTTTTGTTTTTTTCTGTTTCTGTGTGTTTGTGTGTGTGTGTGTGTGTTTGTGGTTGTGTGGTTGTGTGTCTGTGAGTTTGTGTGTTTGTGTGTTTCTGTTTTTTTCCTTCTGTGTTTCTGTGTTTGTGTGTGTTTGTGTGTTTGTGTGTGTCTGTTTTTTTTCCTTTTTTTTTCTCGGTGTTTCCGTGTTTGTGTGTGTGTGTGTGTTTGTGTGTTTGTGTGTTTGTGTGTTTGTGTGCTTGTGCTTGTGCTTGTGCTTGTGTGTGTGTGTGTGTTTTAGGGCAGCGGTTGTTGGTCTGTTTGAAAGGGAAACCAACAGATTAGCCACTCATTTCTTTTTTTGGGTGGGGGCAACCTAAAAGGAAGATAGACCCAAAGGGACGTGAGCCATAGCTGCAAATGTTTACCCCAAAGCCTGGGGTCATTTTTTGTTGACGGTTTCTGGGGGTTATCAAAGTCAGAACATGGAATCGGTTGTTTCCCTTTGACCCACCACTCCATGGTCGTTGTTGGGAAACATTTTACATTTTTGCTTATTGTGGTTTAGTGGTTGAAATCCAAATCCACTGAACAGCTAGAACATATATATATATATATATAATTTTGCTCCCCTCCCAAGGTCAACCAAGGCTCAGGGGGTGACTTGAATCATGGTATAATAATCAGGCCAGAAAGGGCCCAGTTTCTTGGCCCCATAGAAACATTTCCAGGACTTCAATCCGTCTCACGGATGTGCAGGGCGTCAGACATGGGGCAAGCTCAACCTCAGTTCGGGGGAAAGAGCTCACCCATGAAGGCCACGTGGGGGGACCCCTTTTTCAGCTTTTGGATTCCTGATTTGTTCAAACCAGACGATTCTCCGCGAGGTCTGTCTTGCCTAGCAGGGGTTTGGCTCTGTGAAGACGCCGGGTCGCAAAAGAAATGTTCCACACAAACCGAGCGACTCACGATCTGCCGCTTCGGGAACCGCATAGTTTGATGGCGGCTCACGTCTTTGACTCATTGATTGAGAATCGACCGATAGACTCCATGGAGTTACGTTAAGTGCCGATGATGGACCCCTGGAATAACGCTGCGATCACAAGGCTTGAACTTGAGCTAGGAGGACTTCCACTCCAAACCTTGCTCGTGAGCCTCACCTGGTTGCAGTCGATGGGAGAAGAGGCACCAGAATGAGAGACATTGGGCACCAAAATGATTTTCCAACCACACGCCGTTTTTTGTTGGACCCGTAAACCCTAGGTCCACTAGGTCCCCTCATAGTGCCCTTTTACCTTTCTTTTTTTTGGAGTTTTCCCGTACCAAATTAGACAAAAAAGAAAATAGTTTCTACCCTTATTCTAGCCTTTTCACTCAAAACCCAAATGTTAACAGGTCGAACAACCGCTTCAGGTGGCGCCACGAAAAGCCTCGAAAAGGCGCTCTTCAAAGGTAGATCAGAACAGCAGACAGGTGTGATCCACAGGGGGGCTACGGGCTACTCAATGAAGCCTTCGGAAACGCTGCGGGTATGTGTCAAAGCAGGAGGACACCTAAAATGGCTTTTTTGTTCCTTTTGGTTTTCCTTTGAACCTTTTGACCATGCTCTTTCGGCTGATTGCTTTCCCGTGGGCTTTTCAGGTCGCGGATCACATCCGTGCTGGGGTGGGGGACGAGGAGGACGTGTCCTTTGGAAAGGTGGGCTGGCGGCGGTCCCAGTTGGGCTGTGGCGGCTCCCGTGAGAATGAGGGGAAATTGGGTTGCAGGTTGCCACAGGATCACAGAAAAGCTTATTTCCACAACGACACTGAAATGTGCGGGAGGGCTCGTTGTTTGCGATTGTTGGTGCACCTCAGAGGCAATTCCTGGTTTTTACCCAAACTTGACCTCCGGCAAGCAAGATTGCTGCGCACTTGGCCGACTCAGCGTGAGATCATTGCAACAATGTCAACAGCATCAGGCGTGAAGAGTACTTCTGTATTTGAAAAGACGCACCTTGACAGCGCGCCGGGTCTTTAACAATAAACAAGATGAGCATCAGTTCGACCAGCACTCATCAAAACAAGAAATTGGATTGACAGATGACGCATACTGCATGAGCCAGCATGTTCCCACGAGTTTTCGAATGTGAATGGGGCATCACGAAGGCATCCGTCCTTCCCCTACTTGAATGAGAGAAGCCCCATGGCAGACCTGTTCCTCTCAGCGCTTGGCATTTGTGTCCGACAAGGAAGCTAACGGTCATCCTATTTCCCTGAAACCCCATTCCATGAGAACTTGCAGACAACTTGGATCGATTGTGCCGACGGGCGGCAGAAAGGATTGCGTTGCTCACACTCTCAGGTGCCTTAGCGGGGACATCCATGAAACCGTTCCGGTGAGCGAAGGAAAGACCGACAATATGTGCTATACTACTTTCTAAGTTTGATCATGACCACACATGACTCACTTGTCCAAAGCCAACCTTTTGGTCTTTCAGCTTTCCCATGTCGGTCAATTTTCAGTAAAGCTCAGAAAACTGATTCGGCTTTCCTTTCCAGGTCCTTTGGGCGAGTGATGTTGATTTCAAGCACTGTTCTAGGGCCGTCCTTAGCGACTTAGCACGCCTGGGCGACATCTGCCTCTTGTGGCTCGGCAGAATGCCATAGGCTCTGGCTGAATTATATCGACCTCACACGACCTCACCCCAAATGGCCGAAATTGTGGTTTATGTGGAGAATATGTCCCCAATCACCGTATTTCTCGTTAAGGGTCATGACCCCTCCAATGCAGACCCCCGGACCCTCCAATAGAGAACTCCGACCAATTTTTGCAGGGCCCTCAACAACAACCTATTTGGAGGGCCCAAAGTCAGTCGGGACGCTTAAGGCACCTATTTTCCAGAGTTTGGCCCATTTCTTGGTGCGAAGGATCCCTGTTCAATTTTATGCTTGATGAAATATTATAATTCACCCAGATAGGGTCTTGACTCCTTCGCTCGCCAAAGCGAAACGCACGCGGCGATTGAGGCTGGGAGCAGGCCGGCGACACTTTCAACAGGAGGCTGGGACGGGACGATCGCGCGCGCCTGATGGTTTTCCTGCAGTCGTTTTATTCACACACTTCTTGTTTTTTTTTTTTTTTTTTTTTTTTTCCGGTGCCCTTTTTGGGCGGTTTTAAAGAGATGCCACGTGAATCACAATTCTTGGGGGTCCCCTACAAAATGACACTCCCACCTGTCTTTCTCAGTGGGGTGATGTAGGGTGAATCTAGGGATCGTCCACTTGCCAGTTGCTGAAGAACTTGTCAGTCCCAAAAACCCGTCTTGATCCCTGGAGAGCCCATTTCCCCAAAGGCAGACTTTAACCCAGCGGTGGTGGATTGCCCCAAACTCGAAGCCCCTAGGTTTGAGTCCACCATAGCCAAAGAATAGACTTGGCGAGGGTGTCAACCACTCCAAGGCTTCTCTCTTGTGCCCTCATTCATTGCTTGCTGAGTTGGATGGTTTTCTTTAAAAACTCCATATTTAGTGCTCCACATTCGAAGTTAAACAAAAACACACTATACATTCGCCACTTTGTTCTTCCATGCGTTGCTTGGAAAAGAACAGGTCCCACCGTTCATTAAGAGTTAGGAATTTCAGTAAAGCTACTTTATTCATCCAGGCAGCTAGTTACAATCTGTAAGGTGGAGCGCGTTGTATACAGATTCGTCCTGTTGCCTTACTGACTAGTCAACGAAGTTGTAGCATTTGCCAAGAAGCTTCGGCGTGCTGTTTCGGCGTTCCATTGTTTGATGACACAAAGCTCGAGGGGAGCAACCATTTGAAACATGTTGCTTTTTCAACACCAAAATAAAAGGAAACCACCATTTACAAGTTGCAATGCTCAGGTGTATAATGTAAGGATCCCATTTGAGCTACTTGCTCAAAACCGATTCGGGTAGATGAAGGTTAAGGGGCAGTCCCAGCCAGGAAGAGTTGCGGATATCCGCCTTCAAGAAATTCTTGAAGCATGGTTCTGGGGTTACGACCATTTTCATATCGGGTTTTGATTGTGACTCATTTGATGGGTGGACAGTCCAGGAGAATATCGTCAATGGGGTGTCGGAGGACCAGGCAGGGTGTCACTGCCGCATGGCAAACAACAAGCGGCAGATTTGAGCCCTGCAGATGTGTACCCTTGAGCATACATGTACCAAAAGCTTTCTAAGCATAGCAAATCGACTTTATTCCAGTGGGACAAACGTACTGGAATTCTTGGACAAGCATGGAATCTGCCGTTTTTTGAGACGCTGCGTCTCAACTTTGCATGTGCGTGCTTCGCTTGCACAACATGTGCTTTGGCTTGTGATGGGCTTTGCCAAAAAACAGGGCACCCCCGTTTTTGAACGACTTCAAAGAGCAACCGAAAGGAAACTGGATGGTGCTCGGTGGGGAATGACCCAGGGTGTTGGGAATGACCCCAGGAGTCCCCTTAAAGGAAACCAGAAGGGATGGTTTATAGGGTGTTCATTCCATTTCTCATTCCCCGCTGGCACCAGCAAGTCAATGAGCAACCGAAAGGAAACGGGCCTGTTTTCAGGGGTATGTTTGTGTGCGTGCACGTGTTCCGCATGCAGGTTTGATCCATTGAGAGCTGGAGTAGTCGAAGCACCCCTCGAAGGGCCAACTCCGAGCAGTCTCGCTGAATTGGGGTACTTGTGTGTTCGACCAAGTCTGTAAGTCTAGGTCCCCCAGTAGTGCCCTTTTCCCTTTTCTGGGGGAGGGTTCCCCTACTAAAATAGGCTACATAAAAAAGTTGGTACCCTTATTCTATCCTCTCGACTGGAGGACCTAGTATAGATCCCCGGTGAATGTGGGGTTAACCCAGTCACTAGTGCGTAAGCCACAGTGGCGTTGACCACTTCCTAGCCTGGCCGAACATCCAAGCAGCTTAGTCTCCCTTTTTAGAGAAGCTGATGGGAGCCTTCATAGTGATGCTGAAGGCTCGGCCCCAGTGTCTTTGGTTTCACCTTACACGCAGTGGTGCAGAAGAAGCCGAATCTTGCTATGTTTTGTTGCCTCCTGTCCAAATACAGACGACAGCTGTCCCTAGTACAAGATCGAGTGCATGTACATTCCGTTCTTCATGGCCAACTTAAATCAGGAAGCTTCTGGAAAGCGGTAGACATAAAACCCCACCTAGATGATGTCCACCAGAGGGCCCCTAAGTAAAAAGCATACCTACAAGGTGGCCGCATGACTTAGAAACCAGTTAGCTATAAGTAGCTTATAGGTAACATCCTGGATTTACTGTAGTTATAAGTACGTGTTAAGTAGGGTGGCCACCTTGTACCTCAAAGGACTTGGGCAATTCCCGAGCGGCACATTGGCGCAGGTGACACCAGCCCGGCGTACTCTCGGAGTACGCCGTGACCATGTGCCTGGCGCATAGCGGCATGTCAAGGAGCTTACACAGTCTATGCTGCTCCTCAGTCAGCTGCCGAAAGTTCAAATTTCGACCCCATGTTTGTTGAAAATAGTCTCTAGGTCCCCCAGTAGTGCCCTTTCTCACCCTTTTTTGGTTGGGAGGGTTCCCGTACTAAAATAGGCAAACAAGAAAAAAAATGGTACCCTCATTCCAACCTCACTACTAGAGGAAATCGCCTTTCCCTGTTGCCTATGCCCGGCAAATTTCAGGTTTGATGGCGCAGGCTAAGCTAACCCCATTTGAGTCATGGCCAAAATATGCGTAGATCACTTTAGTAAAGCAGGGTTGGCGGCACAAATGTGCAAGAAGCCTCGCAAAACGATAGGGCCCCCACCAAAAACGATAAGATGGGCAGAACGCTGTAAAACGATAGGGTCCCCACCAACAACGTTACCTATACATAGAATCCTCCTTGACAAGACGAGTGATTTTGACGGTAGCTCATTTGATAGCGACGGCTTGAGGTTTGGGCGACGCGCTCGGAGCGTCGAGGCCCCGAGCCGCTGAGGCAAGGCGGAAGCGGGGCTGACACGCCGCAGGGGCGCCTGGCACGGTGAAGCGGCAGGGGGCTTCCTCCATGTCCTTTTTGCTTTGGTGCATTTTGCCAAGGGATGTTAGGACTTTAACTTTTCGCCAACTCATGGGTTTTCCGTATTAAACCACTAAAAGTTAAACTTTTAGCAGGGGAGCAGAAGCAACCAAGTTTGGGTTTCTTAGGATTTGTGGCTCCCCCCAGCCCCACCCGCCCCGGGCCCCTCCCCTCCCTCCTTCTGTTCTTTTTTGTCCTGGGGGCAATCCCACCCCCGATTGCCCGATTTTTTGGCGGGTGTCGGGGTAAACCTTGACTGCTATTGGGTTGGATCTTTAGACTTTAACTTTTTGGTGAAAATCAAGTTGGGTGTTCCACTAAACCCACAAAAAGTGATTCATTTTTTGCAGGGGGTCAACAGCAACAAAGTTTTTTGGAACCTGTTGCGGGCTAAACACATCGCCATTAGAACTTGTGAACCCTCCTTTGCGGGTGTTGCCGCAGCACTCATCTGCGGATGGCTTGCACCCAGTGGGTGGTTTGAGTGGCATAGTTGTGCTGCCCTTGCCAAAGTGTTTGCTTCATAATAACTGACAGACGAGATCAAGCACATGAGACCTTTCCAGCTCTTTGTACCCGTTTGTACCATGACAGTGGGTTCAAAGAGGGGGTTCTAGCATGGTTCATGGGTTTGCGGTTTGGATCTTCGAAGCTTCGGTGGATAGATGGTTGAAGGTGAGGCTGTTGAACTCGCTACCCTTGCTGACTCAAAGCATGAGCAAAATGCGTCACATGAATTACAGTATATATCATATCATGTTTCCTTTAGCAGCGACATGGATACCACACTCACACTTTAATGGGAAGAATGGAAGCAGGGTCCCAGGTGGTGTTGTTTGATCTGTAGTCGGTTTGTCGTTGTACCGCGTTGGCCCTTACCTACAACAACTGAGATGAATCCATCGATCTCTTCATCTGCGACGAGGGGATCCTTTGATTTAGGGGGCCTATCCGCAAGAAAGGAACAACAATGTCCGTCTCTCAAGCCAAGGATTGAGATCTGAGGATCTTAGGACACTCACATGCACCTTTCTTGATTTTTTTGGGTTGACACCCGGTTGGATTGCCGAGTTAGTGTCGTGTAACCCCAGTGGCTAACCACCTGGCTGAACCCTCAAGTTGGCGCGTATAGGCCATCCTGGTAACTGTGTCTGTCTTTTGTTGAGGTCAAAAGGCAAGCAGTGTGAAGATGAATATAACTAGGAAACACCCATTTATTTCTGCAGGTGTTGTGTCCGTTTGATCCATTCGAGGCCGGCTAGCGAAGTCCTGCACGGCCACGCTCGAGAGGCGCTACCCCCGCTTTTTGGGGTGCGGGGGGACCCCGCAAAGGGGTTTGTTTTTGGGTGGTACCCGCTGTTTGGTGGGTTTTTAAGGGAAGCCAAAAGGAAAATCTCAATTGGGCAGAGTCCCTCAAGAAAAGACACACCCAAAATAGGTGGTTTTCCGTTCCGGTTTCCCTTCAACTCAAAAACTGCACACCGAGCCTCCAAAAAATGACAGGCCCGAATTAACATCGAAATAAGGATGTGGACCGGGACCCAAGATGAAGCCGAGCCGCACAAATCTAGGAAACAACAAACCGCATGTCGATTGTTATTCTTTTGGGCCTGTTGAATTGACAAACTGGTGACCCTTTGAAGCGCGCGAATTTGTGGCAACCCTGCATTTCTGAAAAGATGTTGGACCCGATTGAATGGAGTGTTCGGATTTGCTTCGACAATTTCAACTGGGGTGCTCACGACATGCCTTTGGTTCAAGGATGACTGTATGGAGTGCCCGTGTTTGTTCCACATCGAGCGGGTTGATTTTTGCTGATGAACAAGCTGCAAATAGCAAAGGGACTCCTTTTTCTATGTCAACTAGGGCGCCATGAGGGCCCTTTCTTTCGCCGAAAGGTTCATAGAGCCCTTCTAAGCATTTCAAAACTCCCTTTCGGAAAGAAACAACAGCAAAAAAGGGCGCCAGGCTCAAAGAGCCGGACCTTTTCATCTTGGACATTCCAGACATGCCACGGGTAGATGTCCCCCTGCGTCGATCTGTTCTTTTTTTCGCGGAGACCATGGGCGATGCTCCATGCCGGTCAGAAATTTGTCTTAATTTCTTTCAGGCGCGACCGTCGGGATATGGAGCAATGTTGGCGAGAACATATGTCGCAAGGGTTGAAGAGGAGGACCGCTAACAATGGTGGTTTCTTTTTTGGCTTGACGTTAAAACCAACTAAAAGAGGGTCCCCCCCCAAAAAAAGAAGAATAACAAAAAGCAGAAACAAAAAACAACAAGGCCAAGTGACAAAGTGGCAACCACGGTCATATCAAAGCTAAGGTAGCACAGATTTCGGCATGTGTTCAATCCTGCAACCATTTCCCTGTCTGGCACACATGTCAAGGGAAGCCAAGCCGTGTACACCGCCAATGTTTTGGGGGGTGTTTCCTGTGTGGCTAACGGCATTTCCTTGTTGCCGTTGGCCGTTTAACGTTACATTGCCAGTGTTCGCCGGGTACCATTTTTTGTTTGCAACCAAGGAACACCATTTACAAACTGAGAAGGACCCCAAGGAAATCTACTTGAATGCTATCTGGGATTACCCTCCCCACACACGCACACACAATTTCGTTCAGTCGTACACCTCACCTTACTTGTTTGGATTCGTTTTCCGACTCCTCGGGCTCTGTGCGGAGAACCTTGTGACCATGGGTGTTCCTTTGATGGCCAAGCTTGATTAAAAGTGGATGGTTTCCACAGCTAGGTTCACTTTTACCAAGTCTTTTTTGGGGGAGGCTTCCCCAACTAAAATAGACAGAAGAAAAGTTGGTGCCCTTATTCTAACCTCTCTAATCTAGAGATCCTAGAAGTGGATGGGTTCCGCCGGTGTAGCTGGGTTGTGTCCTATCGCTTTGATTAAGCATGGAAAGTTGACGGTTTTCCACTGCTTGGGGTTTTATGCATGTTCCAGGAGTTGTCCACTGCTTCGGGTTTTGGTTGGCATATTCCAGGCCCCTCCGATTTTTCAGCCCAAGTGGCCAGGGTGTCTTTGCCCGGCTCGCTACGTCGGGCCCAGGCGGCCTTTCAGGAGGGCTTGGAGCGCTACATCGGCCACGGCCGGCGCCGGGCGCCCGGAGAACTTCGGCGGGCGAGGTCTGCTGAGGCCCTGTCACTCGCCACACGGGGGACAGGTGCCACCGTTAAAACCATGCTTGGGTTCATATAGCCAGTGTTTTTCGAGACTGGGGGACCGTGGTAGTGCACTTTTTTGCGATTTTAAGGTTTGATGTCTTAGGGAAGTTGCATAAGGGTTGTCATCATCCAAATTGGGTTGAACCCTAGGCGTGTCCCTTTTTTTGGTCAGAGCGGAGTGAGTTTGCTTCAATTCTGCTGACCAGCTTCTGATGTCCGGGCGAATTGGGAGAATCTCAGCGTAGCTTAGTTGACAGAATGCCATTCCAGTTTTCAAACGGAGAATGTGGTTTTTCAAGTCCTTGTGGCGAGACTTCTCGCCATACGCGAATCCGAATTTGGCAACCCATAAGTTATGGCCATTTCTGGACGACAAAATCGCTTCACGTCCGATGTGTCTCGAGCACAATAAACGTCAGTAGATACTTGGGAGCCCTCCCCCCTGACTTGTGACCTTATTTCAGAGTCGGTATCTTGGTTAACCTGTAGGTCTCAGGATCACTAACTCACTAACTCGGAGTCAAAGAGTCAAGGGTCAGCTTCCCTCTATTTGGTGGTTTGGATTGGGGGGAACTGGAATTTGAAGGGTCCCTGGTTCTTGTAGATGGTTGAGGGCAAACCCCTCCTTAAGCACCAAGCCACCAATCCAAACCACCAATTAGAGGAAAGCTGAACGGAGGCAAAACGAAGATTCCGAGTCCCTTTCTTCGGGGGAATGGTTACCTGGTTTTAGTAGAACCACCTTCCGCACATCGCGACGGTATTTCCGCAGGAAGCTTAGGAACAAGAACAGCTCCGGTTCATACCTTCAAAAGCCAAGCGCAACGGCTGGCTTCAGGCGGGTTCAGCCAGAAGTCAGGTCCCTAGTTTTGACAGACTACAGCAACAAAGTTCAAGGCCGTCTCCGTGGTACTGAGCTGGTTGACGGGTCGGTACTCAGCTGCATGTTGCACAGATACCAGGAAGACGAACCCCCCTGCAGCATCCAGGCATATGTTTCGTTCCGCGGAACCGAGGCCAACTGCGAAGTGTTTCCTCGAGCCTTTTCACCCCCTTTAAAAAAGGTGTTCAAAGCATGTCAAAGCTACTTGCATCGGCCAAGTTAGCAAGTGGTCGGCTATTTGTTGGTTTTCCAACCCCAAACTTGCAAGGCGAACCCCACATTCACGGGAAAGAAACTTAATTTTCTGTGGCTTATGACCGAACGGCTACCAACAACCAACTTGGTAACGAAGATCCCAGTGAGCTCATCTCGGGCGCTTGCTTTCTGCCGAAAAACTGGGGCGAGCCTAGGTCACCGCCCAGAGTGGACACAGCAGGACAGTTTTGTTTTTGTTTCTCGAGCGATACGAGAAGACTCACTCACTTGGTCGTGCAACCAGCCATCCGGTTCACAGCAGGTCTTGGGTTTATAGGATCCGGTTGAGCGGTAGTCTCAACTGAAATCACGAGAAGTGTTCGACTTTTGGCAGCGGATCTGATGAGGGCCACTTGTGTTTGCGGTTGTACTTCAGAGTCCTCAGTCACGATCATGCCTTCTGGACCATTCGGAACAAGAGAGAATGTTGGCCCCACTGGAGCTACTGCTTGTCAGATGATTTTGTGCTTGGCCATGGACGAAGTTCTAGAAGTAACCTTCGACTAATACAAGAGCCGAATATAATTGTAAACGCTTCGCGTTGCCCGCCTCGGCCCAGCCTAGTTTGAGGGAAGGGTCAGGAACACCGAAATCCAGTGTTGGGAAGGTCCGAATACCTGAAGCTGGCTCCAGACAAGTCAGACAAGCCGGCCTCGCCTGGTTGGGCTGGGCCACAGGCTAGTCTCAGACACATCAGATAAGCCTGCGCTGGGCCTGAAGCTAGTCTCGGGCAGCTTGGCTGGACCTTGCTTGCGTGGGTTGTTGGTTGAGCTGAAGCTAGTTTACGGCGGGCTGGGCAGCCGCACTGAGGGGGCTGGGCTATGGCTGGGCTGGGCCTGAGGCCAGTTTCAGACACGTCAGACAGGCCTGGCCAGCAGGCGGACTGGGCTGGGCTAGACGCTAGTTGAGCCCAGGCTGGTGAGGCCCAGTCTCGGCGCTAGATAGGCTGAGGCCTGCGAGTCTCAAACCGGGTGGGCTTGGGTGGGGTTGGCTTAGGCGGGTTGCTGGTTGGGCTGGGCCTGAAGCTAGTCTCAGCCACGAGGCTGCGAAGCCATGGGTGGTGCTGGGCAGCTGGATTATGGTGTTGGTTGCGCCTGGAACTTCGGCTGGCTGGGCTGAGCTGTGCTTGGGCGGGTTGCTGGATGGGCTGAGGCTGGGTAGCGAGTTGCTGGCTAGACACGTAAGACACGCCAGCAGGCGGGCTGAGGGACTGGGCCTGAGGCTAGTCTCAGGCTGGCATACCTTGAGACCAGTCTCAGACTGCGCCGAAGGGGCCTGGTCAGCCTGGGCTGCTGAGTAGCTGGCATAGCTTGAGACCAGTCTCAGAGGCCAGTCTCAGACATGTTAGACAAACCTGACCTTGGCACACTGGGCTGAGCCTGCTGGTGGGCTGGGAGCTGGGGGCCGGTAGTGGCTGGCATGCCCTGAGATGCGCTGGGGCCTGGGCTGGGCAGGCTTTGGGCTGGGCCTGAAGCTAGTCTCAGCCACGAGGCTGCGAAGCCATGGGTGGGTTGCTGGCTGCCGGGCAGCCGGACGCTGGTTGTGCCTGGAACTTGGGCTGGGCGGGCTGGGCTGAGCTGTGCTTGGGCGGGTTGCTGGATGGGCAAGGCCTGTTTCATACACACTTGGGCCCGAGGCTGGGTGGCGAGTTGGCTGGGCTGGGCCTGAGGCCAGTCTCAGGCTGGCGTACTTTGAGACGGGGCTGGGCCTGCTGCTGGATGGCTTGGGGCCAGACGCAAGCAGGAGGGGCTGAGTTGCTTGGGCAGCCGGACTGAGGGGGCTGGGGCACGTCAGACGGGCTTGGTGGCTGGCATAGCTTGAGACCAGTTTCAGACACGTGAGACTGGGTCGTCAGGCAGGCCTGGCCACCAGGAGGTCGGACAAAAAAGCAGGTGGGGAAAAATTTTGGTTGGGAGGGGGTTGGGGGAGGGGAAAAGCGAAGATTCTCTTTGGAGAAGAGATCTGAGCGCCCTTGGCCCCTTTGGGGCCGAGGCGAATTGGAAGGAGGCTGTGCTATTCAAAACTGCATTTCCTCTTGATGGGTGTTAAACTAGTGATATGTGTTTTAGCCCCTACTCAGGCGAAATGGTGAGCTCTGTTCAAGGAACCAGCGAGCATCGGTTCAGACGAGGCGTCAGCATTCTCGTGTTTTGCGATGTCAGGCTTGTGAGGCTTGCAGGCCAGGGGCTATGGCTGTGATGCTCATGCGCAGATCAAGTCCTACCTGCAACAATTGGAGACGTGGACAGCCCCTCAGTGCACGCTATTTGCCATTCTCGGATTTTGAACCAATTCCAACTCATGACTCAGGATATGTCTGGTACGGACACGCCCGCCTTCTTACTTTCACGCGAATTTGCTATGCCGACAAGGCTTCTTTTTGTTCCTCCAACAACCTGGCAAGCATGCCGCCAAGTTAGAGAGTGGCTAGCTCTTTGGGATTTTTCACCCCCAAAACAAGGTTGGCCCCACACTTACGGGGGACTTTTTAGTGGGTGATGCCCTAGGTTACCCAGAGCTTTCTCCTAGACATCTCTACCCCAATCATGGAATTGGGGGAGGGGAGACCCCTTCCAAATTCCATTCGCACTTCCATATTCTTTTTTCTTTAGGGGGGAAGACCAAGTAGAACATGGAATTTGAGGGACCCCTACCCCCCCTCCACTTTTTGAAGGTAGGAGAGGTCCCGGCGCAGGACCAGATCTTCCCAACGGAGCCTCCCGCCTTCTCTCCAGGGCCCGGCGCTGTGAGCGCTCAGCGCTTGCGGCTTCCGATCGATCCGCTTTCTTTGAGCTTTCCCTAAGGGTCATGGCCCCAATGCAGACCCCGACCCCCGGACCAGCCCTCCAATGGAAAACCCCTCCAGCGACCCATTCCTCAAGGGCCCGCAACGAAACAAGCCATTTCGAGGGGCCCCAAAAACAGGCGAATCGGAGCCTTTGGGTTGAATGAACATCAAGCGGTATCTGTTGGGTTCACAGTGCTCTTGACGTTTGAACACATGATTTTCGTCTTATCTGGGGTGGACTTAGGATACATTTTACATTTTACCAGTGACTCAAAGTGAAGCAAAGAAACAGATATACATTCTATAACTGGGCGGGGGTCACCTAGTTGGATGGTTAGGGGTCATTCCCTGCCTATCGCACCAGGTCTCTTCAAGTCCACAGGACGTGTCACGCCTGTCCTTCGCACCATTTCGCCTCATGGGACCGAAGAAAGAGAATCACGGCTCGTCAGCTGCGCAAACCGGAGAACTTGCTGCGGTAGGCAGGGAATGCTGGGACCTCCAGCGAAAGGGTGCCCTTTCTCACCCCTTTTTTTTGGAGGAGGGTTCCCCTACTAAAATAGACAAAATAGAAAAAAGTTGGTACTCTTATTCTAACCTTTCGACTGGAGGACCTAGAATGAGAAATGGAATGACCCCTATAAAACAATCCAAGTGGTTCTCTTTCAGGAATCCCCTTCTGGTTCATTCCCACCCAGAACGGTCATTCCGGACGGAGCATCGGCAGGAAAAATTGAAGATACGAGTTGGAAGTGTTTCGCAGCTGGGCAGGGTGCGGGCCGGGTGTGGCCTGGTGGATTCAAATAATCACCTGTTTGGGATTTTGGACATGGTTGAAAAAGCAGTTGTTGTTGGCACCCGGGTGCTGGTAGGGGGTGATGGTTTTAGGTTGGAGATACTGGGGATGGACGAAATCCACGAAATGACACCATGAGAATGAAACCAGAAGCTTTCCCCAGTTGCCCAGTGGTAGTTACCTTGTCTTCTCTTTTCTTTGGGAAGGGTTCCCCTTCAAAATCCAGCCACCCAAAAAAGGATGCCTTCTTTTTTCTCTTCTTTTTCCCATGGATACAAACTCCACTGGGCAGCGTTTTTTTTCTTTTTTCATCCCATGGGATAACAAATCCACGCAGCTGAGTTTTTTGGGTATTTGCCGTTGGGGAAGGCTTCATCGGAAAATGTTCCCTGGCGCCCGGCGCTTCGCCGAGGCCCCGGCGCCCGGTGGGAGGGCCGGACCACATCGTGCCGGGCTTCGGACAGGCCACTTGCGCGGAGGAGTCGCCCCGGCGACGGCGCGTTGGGAGAAGAAAAAACAGGCCCCTTGTGAGCTGGGGTTGCTTCATATGGTGGGCCAAAATCCACATCGTACCCCCAGTGAACGGCTTTTTAAAATCCCACATCGGTTAGTTTTCAGTGAACGTCCGATTCAATCCCTACTAAACTTCATATGGTGGGTCAAAATCCAAATCGGTTCGCCCCCAGTGAACCTCCGATTCAATCCAACCACCAAACTAGGTTTTAAAATTGGGTGGTGCACCGAAAACCCCAACATGGGATCCCATTGGTTTTGACCCACAGCCATATGAAGTCAACATGACTTCTTTAGGGTATGTCAGCCCCAAAACAAGTTGATTTTCATGGATTCCCGGAAACTCAATCCCAACTCTGGGGTCAACCTTCTAGGTTTTTCAGCGAAAGGGTGCCCTTTACCTCTCAGCCCCTTTTTTGGTTGGGAGGGTTTCCCTAAAATAGACAAAACAGAAAAAAGTTGGCACCAACTTATTCTAGCCTCCCGACTGGAGGACCTAGTGGTTAGTACGTCTGGCTATCCACTGAACGGAGACGCTTACATCGGAAGCATTTGTTGGGGGTGAAGCCTGGCTGTAATCCACTGGACGGAGACTTATAACCATGGCTTTTGTGGGTTAACCATGGTTATTATCCACTAACTAAGTACCCATCCATATTTAAGTAGAAAACCCAAGGAGACTTTGGACCTCAAATCAGGTTTTGGGTCGGTATTGTCAGGCGGACAAAGGTACTGCCGGACAGGCTCCACTTTGGAAAACTTTGCAAGTGGCTTGCTAGCAACTTGGCCACCTCCGGAGTCACATGAGCCACAATCAAAGCCGATTCGGGTAGATGAAGGCTAGTACGGGACGATCCCAACCATAAATAGCTGCGGCCGCCTTCCTAATCCTGTACATGGTTCTGGGTAGACTATTTTAGCTACCAGGATTGCGACTCACATGTTCCCTTCAAAGACAAAAAGTGGGGGAGTACCCACTGCGATGATGTATCAATGCAGTAGTTTGACTAGGTCCCCTAGCTAAGTGCCCTTCTCTCCCCTTTTCTGGGGGAGGGTTCCCCTACTAAAGTAGACTACAGAAGAAAAGTTGGTACCCTTATAACCTCGAGTCACAGGCGACTCGCAACGTGTAGCAACCCTTCCTGGCAAGAGAATCACCCTGGCTTGCTTGTAGCCAATTTCGAAGCCCCTGACTTTGGCACATGAGAAGGTCAAATGGATGCTCTCCTCCCTTGAAAAGGGACCACTTTTGAAGCGGGGTTATCACAATATCAGGGCTTCCCAAAAGGCCCCGATATGTGTGGATCATGTGTGTGTGTGTGGGTGTTGTGCATAGTGTCATGTTCGGAGTTTGCAACATGCACTCAGAGGTCAAACTTATGGGCTCAACCCGTGATTTATTCACCCGGTGCATCCAAGTGGGCTTTGTCCATGTCCATGAATCAATGCTCAAGCACAAATCTGTTCCTGAGCACGTGGGGTTGCGGGTGTTTCTTCAGATGAAGGAACCTGCTTCGCTGCTTTGGGGTATGGGTTCCATCGGACAAAGGCGACACTCGCCACACGCACACGCGCGCACGCGCATGCAAGCATACGCCCGCACGCACGCAAGCACGGCACGCACCCAGCCACCCACCCACCCACCCACCCACCCACCCACCCACCCACCCACCCACCCACCCACCCACCCACCCACCCACCCACCCACCCACACACACACACACACACACACACACGCACACACGCACACACACTCACACACTCACACACTCACTCACGGCAGTTTGTCCCTCATTTTGGAAATCCGTTTGGTTCGATGTGGCCCGCCACGCTTTCGTAAGGAACCGCCTCCCCATTATAGCACAACGAGCAAGCGTGATTCAATGATTCCAGAAACACTGTTGTATAAGTATGCTGGTTGGTCGTCCGCCTCTGATATTGTCAACGAATGGTCTGGCCTTTGTTACTGCTGACTGGTGTTGGTTATGCAGCTACCCGTGACGATTGCTCCTTTAACGCACCATACACAGCACCCATTGCTTGCACCCAAGTCTGAAGCCATCCCTGACCCAACCCTAAGCCACCTTAAACGCACGAAGACACAGCCAGATCAACCCCTACACACCCTCCAGGGGTACCAACAACCTGGCCCACGAGCCATACTCGAACCTGGACAAACCTGTCACTCCACACCACACCTTGGCCAAACTTAAATGTCCTAAGCCCTGGCCCTCCCATTCTAAACGAATCCAACAATCAAAACCTCAGCCCTAAAACCAATCGAAAAACCGAACGTGCACACACGAGAAGCTGATTTCAACTCCACCCACTCTAAACCCGTCACGACCCTTTACCCACCTTGCACCAACCCCAAGCAACAGATGGAAGCAGCGCAGAAACGCTCATTTCTTTGGCATGGCAACCGCTGCAACTCCAAACTGAATACTTGGACAGGATAGTGGAGAATCACATAAACACGCATGCAAGAAGGAAAGTAGAAAACCACACATGGAAGGGCTCATCCCTGCAGGACCGCAGGAACAAAAAGCACCAGAAGTTGAACCGATCAAGACAAAAGGGCAATCGCGTACAATTACGCCTGTCAACGGTTTTTGTTCATCCATGTCCCCGACCCCAATTTGCAAGGCCCTTGCTTCCAGTTTTCACAACTCCCTGCCCCCAGACGCTTTACGGCCCGGATCTAATTGCGCTCAATCTTGGCTGGACTGTTCCGGTGAGGCGAGCCAAACTTCAAACCACGGCAGTGCTTTCCTTGGCGACACGGGTGGCCATGCGCTGGGGTTCAAATGGTGACCCTTTTCGGGTCTCTTTGAGAGGCACCCCGGTTTTGACAACCACGTTCGGCTTGGGGGGTTGTGTGTGAACCAGATTTCCCTTTGTGGGACCTTGCTGCCGCCTTCGGCCACCTGTTGAAGGAAACACCACACAAAAAAAGAACAAACTCTTTTGACAACCCCCCCCCCCAAATGGATTGTAGCAACATACGAGCCAGTCCCGTTGCAGGACACCCGGTCTGAACAGGGGAAGCGACACTTCGGGGCAGGGCCCCCAGGGCGGAATTCGCCGAATGTTGATTTGATTTGGGCAGCTATGATGGACAATTGAGTCCCAGGGCCACTTGCTATGAGAACAAGGATATCCCTTTGGAGTGAGCATGTCACGGGGATGGCCCGCTTTGGTTTCACGGACAAGGTGATGCTCGACAACTATGGGGGCGCTGATGATTGGATTCGGGCGAGAGCTGATATAATATATGCCCAACATGCAATGACATGTTGTATGCGCCGTTTGCAAGCCTTGTTTAGAGCCATGTCACCTTCTCAAATATTGCCAGAAAAGCAGCTCTTGCCCAATCAGGTGAGTTGTTCAAGAGGCCTACGGCAACCCTGTTCTGACTAAGAGTCCGCTGCCTTTAGTCTCCTCATTTGCTGGAAGCGAATCAAGCTTTTGGACCTCTCGGTTTTCCAGTGTCGGCAACCAGCTTAAGTCAACCCAAAAGGTGGTCACCTTGTATTTCCGGATCCTTTGCGCAACTGAGTTTCTCCTTTCCGAAGGGAAAAGCGACATGGTCCGGTAGCTGCAGGCTCCGGGGACCGTAGGTGCGTAGCTCTTCACGGCCAAAGAACTTTGGGGGTCCCGTCAAATGGCCGGATACCTTGTTTGGTTTCCAGCAGCGCCTTACAACGTGGAGCATTGTGGAGCACCCCCATTAAAACCGCTGCTCGCACAGACGCAAACTGAAGCGCATTCAGAAGAAGAAGAAGACAAATAGCAAGAATAATATCTACTCCGCGAAATGATGACTTTGCCAAGTGCATCATCACCAATTGATGTCTGCCAAGTAAACCACTGATTGATGCGCAATTGGATGGATTCAATGACTCAAAGGAAGGTCTAAGAATCATGTTCAATCAGCAAATGGAAAGTACATTTATTGGAGACTTTAAGTTCCAAACAACCGGGTCCCAGCGACTCGAATGTGACAGCTGCAGCAAGTGCGAAACAGCTCAGCTGGAAAGTAGCAGGTCGGGGGGTCAGGAGTTTCATGCATTTTACGACCGGGGGCTGAGTTCATGGCTTGGTTTAGGCCTAGGCTTTACAAAGTTGTAAGCTTAGCAGATTAAGAGTGTCAGGACAGAAATTTGGGGTGCGAGGAGCTTGACCTGGAATCCAAGAAACCGCATGTGTCAGAGGGGACCTTCTTCTGCCAGGGGCGGCTTCCAGGCATCCGGCTCCTTGGGGTGTATACCATTCTTTTCAGCCATCGTTCTTTTCAATAACCAGCCATTTCCCCAGGGATTTTGGTGGTTTTCTAGAAAGAAGGATCCCTGGAAAGAATGGGGAAGTTACCGCTAGAACCATGTTTTTAGGATCCGGTTGAACTGGCAGTCTCCACTAAACCGCTAGAATCTGGGACCAGCCAACGTTGACCCCGGATTAGTGCACATTCAGTTTCTCAATCGGGGAGGGGTGTTTAATACCTGGGGCGTTTAGTAGTCAGGGGTCCGTATTTGGATTTGCGTCGATGAGTTTTCATGCCACAGCTGAGAGTTCTAGGTCCCCCAGCTAGGTGCCCTTTTACCCTTTTTTGGCGGGAGGGTTCCTCTACTAAATTTGACTACAGAAAAAGGGGTACCTATTATTCTAACCTCTCTACTGGAGGACCTAGAGTTGCCTTGGTGAATCTTGATGCCACCTTTGACGGGGGCACCCCCAGCACGCCACAATTTGTTGATCTCGTCGGTATGTGTCACAAGAGGGGGCCCCCAACAAGATGAGCTTCGGAGTTCTTTCAGGTTATTTTTCTGCTATACGAAGGTGTGGAGAACAATTGGTTTCTTGTGTTGTTTTTCGTGGCTGAAATTTGGAAAGGGACCCATGCCCCTCAAATCAATTAGGCATCCCTTCATTGGTGGTTTGGATGGGTGGTTTGGGATTTGAGCTCTTGGTTCTTGATTCTTGAAGGACCATGGCCTAGTTGTTGTAGTGTAGAGATGAGAAACCACCCCGTAACACGAAACCACCAATCCAAGCCACCAATTGGAGGCAAGCTGATGTCGATCCAGGCGAAGGGTCACATCAGCAGCGGCTGCTCAGTGATGGCTGCGGATGGAAAGGCCACGGACGGATGGCTTTGACTTCGCTTCGTGTCTTTTGTTGTTGCCGTGCTGGGGTTGAAACGGAAATCAAGCGGAAGCCACAGGAATTGTAGGGAGAAACTAAAATTATAACTACTGAAGTCCATCTTGTCCAAATCCTTTTCAGACAAACCCGTGTGTACCTTCCGTAGGAACGAGTTCGTGCCTGCAAAAGGACCCGTTTGACGTTCGAACATTCACGAGGTGCCCCATAATTAGCCTACTTCTTTCGGTACACGACCACTTTTTTTTGGCAGTCAGACGCGCCGACAGATGGTCGCTTCATCATCCAGCGTCTTTCTTGACTGCAAAACCTGGGGGCCCTCCCTTTGACCACGCCACAATCAAAACTCGGTAAGATGAAGGTTAGTAAGGGGTAGTCCCAACCAAAATGGGTGTCGCCGCCTTTTGAATTCATTTACATGCTTCTGGGTAGACCACTTTCATACCAGGTGTTGATTATGACTCAGCTGTTTTCCTTGACCCAAGTCAGCGCAAACGGTCAGTTTGGCCTGGAGTATGCGCCAAATGTAGCTGGAGTCATGTATAGACCTGTTTGTACACAGAAGAGCCCCCTTTAAGAAGCATATCCCAAGGCCAACTTAAGCCCCACATCAAGCCCACAGATCCTGGCCTCTTCTTTAATCTGGAAGCAGGCTTGCACCCGGCAGAATCGAATATGCTGGAAGGAGCAAGCTTCAATGGGCCATAGTAGCAACGATCCAAATGGATTTTTCCTAGTTGTCCAGGTTTGTTCTCCTTCCAAACGCTAGCTGGTCCCCTGCAGGTCATCCTCACACTGTGTTCCTTCAGACCTGAAAGGACGGCAAAACTGCCACCAGGATCGCCCTGTCCCACCGGCAGTCCTCGCCCTTTCTCACCGCAGATCCCAGGCCTAGACACGTCCTCGGGCTGATCCCAATACCCTCCCTTTGTTCTGGGTAGGGCTTAAACACGCAGGCATGCGAGTTGTAAGCTGACCAAGAGCATGGCAGGACAGGGGAATCTCCCAAACGGATCGGTCCGACAGAGTTGAGACTCTCCAGGGGAGCCATAGAAAGGGGAGCCATTGCCGAGGGAAGGGTCCTCTCACTCCCATGGCTCTCCGTTTCGGACGGCCAACGTCGCTTAGGACGACCAACAAAAAGTAAGTGGGAAGCAACCAATCGACGTTTCGGACTTTCGTCGCTTTTTAGGACGACCAAGTTTCAGTTGGAAGCAACCAATTTGGTCGCTTTGGAAGAGCCTTCCACTCAGGAAGCGAGATCTGCATTTCTGAATCAACATGGAGACTCCCCGCTCCCCGTCGCGGCTGCGCGAGGAGGACTACGTGCAGGGCCTTCCCCGCAGCATCGGTCAGGGCAAGCAGCGCATTGGCGAGAAGGCCTTGCTTTGCTTTGGCGCATTTTGCCAACGGATGTTAGAACTAAAAAACATTTTTCCGACTAATGAATTTTTAACTTTTGGCCAACTAATGGATGTTTTCCCTTAAACCACTAAAAATTAGCGAGGGGAGCAGAAAGCAACCGAGTTCCGAGTTTGCGCGCAGCTGTTTCGCTGAAACCCCCCCGCTCTGTTCACATCTGTTAGGCGTGTGACTGTACATGTGTATATACTGCCCTGAAAAGTTTTCTCGTGGAACTCAAGAGGGGAACGTCCAAAAGGAATCTCCTCCAAGAACGACGGTTTTCGGGTTCCGCACAATCTGCCGGAAAAATACACATCGCAATCGATTGGGGTCCTTTATGTTGTGGTTTTCCAGTTACTGGGATCGAGTAGGATTGCCCAACTCTGACTAGCAGCAGCAAAGCATACCGCTTTCAGGTGATTTTGCGACTTTCCTCACCTTGCCTTGGGGAAACAAGACTCTTCAGGAACGCTGTTCATATTGCTCAGGAGAACTCGTGAATGAGCATTCACTCGTAAGGGAAATAGCACCCACTCGCATTCACGCCTCTGCACTATATATTTGTGGGTGGCCATGGCCGAGTCGGGTGGATGTGCCGATCGGCCAGCTCCAAAGGGGTTTGTTCTTTTCTTGTCTTTTTTGCGAGCCGCGGCGTTGGTCCATCAAGCACTTGGCCATTTGAGTAAGGTTAACCTCGGATTAAAAAAAGCCCTGGTTGATTAGGGGGGTGTCCCCCTTTTAGTGGGGATTCAGACCACTTTTGGAGGGAACACCCCCCCAATACTGGGACGGGTTTATTAATATTGCGTCAACATTAGGCGCTATTACAATCTGTCTTATGAGGAGCAGAGCAACGACCCATAGGAACCTTTACAAACTTGTCGCTGGAAGCAGAGTTTGCGAATTTCGTCTTAGACATGGATTGGCAGATTTACATGAAGCCTCGCAAGTCAAGCCTCCTAATTAATGCGGACCCAACATTGATAAGCCCTTGGTTGACAACTTGGGGGGTGTCCAAAACATTTAAAGAAAAGGAAAACCAACGAAAACTAGGTTGTTTTTTTTAGGGGCTCCAAGAGTCCCCCTGTTCCAGCCACCCCTACGCAGGATCACCTGCTTGGAGCGCTCAGCCGGGCGGAGGATTGCCCGGGTCAACATGGGCATCAGAGGCGGGCCAGAAATCTGGGGCTGGGCCGCGGTGCCACTTGGGTTATATCTTTATAACCTTCCATTTGCTGAAAGGAATATTTCTTGACTTTCCCTCGTTGGTTGTAAAAGGAATTTATCACTACTGGATTTTGTTTTTAACCTTTGGGTGTGGCTCAAAATTAAGCAGGAGGGGCAAAACGCGGGTGTTGGTCCATGTTTCCACTTAACAGGGTTCCATTTTGGCACCGGTTTTTTGAGCCACAGCCCTTCCATTTGCTGAAATGACTATTTTTTTGATTTTCCCTTGTTGGTTTCAAAAGGAATTTGTCACTACTGAAACTATATTTTTGTTTTTTTTTTCCAGGGGTCTTAACCAAATGGAAGTAACCCACTATTAACAGGGTTGACCCCACTTGAGGGAACTTGTAATCACAGCCTAGATTACTAACGACTTACTAACTTGGCCGAACTCCCAAGTAACTAGTTTCCCTGGCTGAAAAGGCCAAGTTCTTGTAGTTCCCTTCCTGGATGGTTTCACATCACTTGGGCAAATTTTGGCAGGGCGTTTCCCTTTGGCAAGGTGACGGAATTATCGAATCGAATGGAGAGATCCCATCAACTTGTTGGCGACACTCGAGAGCTCTCGAATTTCGATGGCTCAAAAAACCGAAATTTCCAAAATGGGTTGCCCTGTTAAGTGGAAACATGGGTACCAAAACCTGCGGTTTGCCCCTCCTGTTTAATTTTGAGCCACAAATCAAGAATGTGGAATATATGGATTTCTTGCAAAACATGCCACATCTTTGCAGAGAAACGCACGGCATGCGTGCGCGACGGACAGAGGACGTGCAGCCATGTGGGTGCTCCTTGTTTAGGCCCAAATTGTGGTTTTCTGGTTAGTGTCCCTTTACCCCTTCAGGCCATGAGCCTTGGTCATGGTTCTGTCGCGAACCCTTGCAATGGTTGTCCGCCGTCCATGGTTTCAAATTGGTGCAAAATCTAGGTCCCCCAGCAGTGCCCTTTTACCCTTTTTTGGGGGAGGGTTCCCCTACTTACAGAAAAAAGGGTACCCTTATTCTAACCTATCTACTGGAGGACCCAGAAATGGACTGCGCCCATCCGCGGTATGCAAAAATGTGAAGGGGACAAAGTCGAAAGTTCGTGTTGCATCCCCTGTGTAAGTGAAATTTTAAGGCAACTACAAGTACCAACAACAAATGGATTCAACCACTCCATCCACAGTACCCTTTTGGATAGTATATTGGAGCAAACAAGAACTCCGAGCGTTCGCAGGGGTCCCGACTCCGTGGTCAAAAGACCCTTTCTTGGTTGGGATGAGCTTCAGCCTCTGAGGGATTTTAGACCGCGTAAGACGTTAAGTGGAAGTATGACCATGGCGCACAAGGTAGCGTTTGTGGGTGTCCAAGGTTTGATTCCCCATTCTCTTCACCCAACCATTTTTCCAGGGGTTTGGCCCATTATTTGGTGCGAAGGATCCCTGTTCAATTGTACTGGTGGCCTGCAACGAACACAGTTGTTTACTCCCATGCCAAGAGTTGTAAAGATGGACCTAGAGATGATCCGCTTTGGCATGAAGGGTTAATCACAAGCATTGTGTTTATATAATATAATATAATATAATAATATATATATATATTGTATTATATATATAAATATATATAATACTATATATATATATATAATATGTATATATATAATATAAACCGTCACATGCATCGTGTTTTTTCATTGGAACAAAGAAGACAGGACTTGGCTGTGTGGCTTGGAGAAGTCGTGAACTTGTTGGGCCGGCCAGGGACGACGATTTCCAGGATGGCCTCGAGCGGGGCATCGGCCATGGGAAGTGCCGCGCCCCGCAACTGGTGGGCACGGTCAGACGGGACGCGGCGCGCGGTGAAGAGAGGGAAATCAGCGGAAGCGGTGCTTAGGTCATGATTTTGACGGAAACCAGGGGGTTCTCAAAGTCAGAAAATGGAATCGGTTGTTTCCCTTTAAGCTACCACTTGAAATTGACTTGGTTTCCAGCGCTTATTACTCTTTTGACCAGTCTGACAAAGTGCACCCTCCGCACAAAACACCCACGACATGTGTTTGCTCATTTGTTGTCATTGTCTGTGTGTTTTGCCCCCTCGAGTTAGAGGGTACCCAAAGGCTGTTTTGGCTTCACGTCTGGCCCTAATTGTTCAATTTGATTTGCCTCGTGGGCTGCCCACTCCAAATGATCACCCCCAAAAATGGGTGTCCCGTCTAGCATGCCCACTCGGCAACTGAGGCTTTGAGGGGTACCTGGCTATCAAAAGCGACACCAAAATGAAGGGATCAATCTCAGGACTCCTTTGTTTGGGATGGAATTCTGGTTGGAGTCTGAGTATCAAGATGGGGAATTGTCAAAATCGGGGACCCCCTTTTTGGATGGTGTCAAAGGGAAACCAAAAGGAAACCAATGATTTTGTGATCCCCTATTTTGAGACATACCTTAGTTGTACTGTATATATCATAAGGCATTGTCTCAAGCCTGTTGCAAGTCGTGTCCTCTTTCAGGAAGTTTTTTTCTCGTGGGTCCTTCTACCCGCGCGTGTTTCGAGCATGCAGCTGGCCTGACGCGATCCGTTTTTTACCTAGGTCCCCCAGCTAGGTGCCCTTTCTCACCCTTTTTCTGGGGAGGGGGGGTTCCCTGACTAAAATAACCTACAGAAAAAAAACCGATGGGGGGGTTCCCTATCAAACCGATTGCAACTGTTAGGCGGAGAGCTGTTGACAGACTCATCATGGCAGTGTGTGCCGCTGGTGGAGTATTTGTGCCATTTGCTTCCTGCGAACTGCAAGTGCCACTTTGTTGTCGGTTAGTTGTGTTCTTGAGTAATTAAGTCAACAAGATGTGCCGTGCCAACAATTTGTGCACAGGTTCCGACTAGATCCTCTTCCGAACGCAGAAGGTGCTAGTGGGGACAAGCCGCACTTCTCTCTGTCAGGTTCCGCTGGATGTAGCAACCGGCCGTGCCCATGTGCCATTTGGCCCAAAAGCGCCCGCCCAGCAAGTGCAAAAACTCTCGACCTTCGCGCGGTGCTCGGACATCCTCGCGCAAGCCGGCTGGCAAAAAGAATGGTGCGTGATGTGTGTGTGTGTGTGTGTGGTGTGTAGTGTGTAGTGTGTAGTGTGTAGTGTGCGTGGTGTGTGGTGCATTGACTAGGTTCCCCAGTAGTGCCTAAAATAGACTACAAAATAGACTACAGAAAAAAGGCTACCCTTATTCTAACCTCTCTGGGGTATTTCAAGGCTTGCGAGATACCCGAAAGCTTCCCAAGCAACAGGTTGCGTTTGCGCCTTGCTGGACTCGCACCACATGCTTGATTGGACCCGCTGTGAGCTTCATGTGGGCCAGAACAGTCTTGGCCAAGAAGGAGGCTGACAGTGGATGCCGGCCAGGTCCATTTCATTCCACATGATGTTGAGGTTCACATTTGGGGTGCAGGATGTGTTTTACGAGACTAGGTGTTCTTCTCGCATCATGGCCTGTCTCCGGAAAATCATCGTGTTGGTCACTTTGGGCCGCGCGTTGGTGGGGCCTTACGAACAAAAGGCGCAAAACCCATGCCAAACAGTTGGAACCCGCTGGCCGCCAATGAGTCTCAGGATTTGCCATGTTTCTACAGACCAACAAGCCTTAAGCATTTGGAGGAAATGTAGATTGAACTTTTGAATCCCCATCCCTCATTAATGTGTAGCCCGTGGGGGGGGGGGGGAGAATTACCAGGCGGGGACATAGCCAGGGAGGCCCCAGTTGATTGATAGGGGGGGTGACAGGCCCCTTCAAAAATGGTTTGATTGCCCACATTTCACCCAGGGACACCCTGTTGTGCATGAACTGGGGTTGATTAATATGGGGTCAACATTGCTTCTTCAGGTACTGATGTCAACCGCTAAACAAGTAGATCTGCGCCATGGATTCCCGGAACATCAATCCCAACTATGCGGTCCACCTTGTGTTTTCCCCTTTCAAAGCCTTCCATGTGTTTTTTTGTTTTTTGTTTTTTTTTCTTTGACTTGTTGGCTTTAAACGAAAGTTATCACTACTGGACATGTTGTTATTTGTTCCAGGGGGCTTAAGCAAATGGAATGTACATGGGAAACCCGTCCGTTTCACCACCAAACCAACAACAGAAACCACCGAAGAGGAAGCTGAACCAAATGGAAGCAGCGAGGCATCCGCGGCCTCCAGAGCACTTCAATGGCTGCCGAGGCACCTCTCCTTTTGACCATCCCCCAGGTGCAGGCAGGGAACTCGAGAGCCGCGAGAAGTCAGAGGTCCTGTTTGATAGGGGTTGATTCAGTGGTCAAGTGTCCTATTGGGTCAACAGTCCAGGTGTGAAGTTTTGGTTGGCTAGTTTGGTTGATGCCTGTTCCATTCTTTTCAACCATCTTTCTCTTCAAAAACCAGCTGTTTCTTTGGGGTTCTGCTGCTTGTCTGAAATGAAGGATCTCTGGAAAGAATGGGGTCGTGTCGTCTAGATTGATACATGAAATGTTTCAGGATGATCGTCGTTGAGACCACTCAAGTCACAACCTTCTGAGATACCTTGATTTGGCCACGGTGAGGCGTGGGCAACGAGTACTTCCCCTGGTCAACATATGATGTTGACGACCAGGGAAACTGGTAGATGCTAGTCGACTCACCTGGCTTGACAGCAGTCTGGTATTTTTGGTCCATGGCTTGCCTTCCCTCCAAAAGCATTTCCTCCAGCGGTCCCTCCTTCGCAGGCCTTAGGCCCCAGAACGTGACCACATTTTGTTGTTGTTGTCTGTTGTTTGTGCTCCAATCGTTGGAAGGCTTCAGAATGGCGACTCTGTTCTGCATGGTTTGCCTGCTGCAATGTGTGCATATGTTGTGTCTTGGAATGTTTGGTTGCTTGGACTGCAGACGTGTGGCTCTACGCTGATAAACACCATTGCCCCCATTTCCCGTTGTAAGTCACCATTGTGCGTCCATTATGCGTACGTGCCCGCTTTGTTTTGTTTGTTTTCTCGTGTGTAATTTGTCATGTGCCCGCTTTTTTTTCAACCGAGCCTGAGCTGCCGCGCAGCGCGTTTTCAAGTTTCCTGCTTTGGTCCACTTGTGCCTATGCACTCTTGGCGCAGAGCCGCAACAAATTGGCTGCTCCCAGGTGTTTGTTTCTGCAAACTAAGCATGTTGGGTCCAATGATACAGGCATCTGCGGACATTCTTTTCCAGGCTTCGGGCTGGATCCGCCTCGCAAATTTCGGATCTTTCAACAAGTTTGAGCGTGGCAGTGGCCTTGCGCCCAGGCCAAGAAGAAGGAGAAGCCCAGCGCTTTGGAAGAAGTTCGGTGAGCTCCGGCGGACACGGGCCAGTTGGAATGGGCCCCCTTCTGAACCCAGTTGGATCCGAGTCTTTTATAGGAAACCAGCAAAATAAAAGGAGAAACAGATCCGGTTGTTGAAAACGATGGTTGAATCAACCCCTAGAAATGCATTCAAATACCAACAAAACTCGGGGAACAAAGGTTTCAGGGCGGGTTCTAATAAGGATGGTGAACACAATGGTCACCATCCGTTGAAATCCGAAGGCTACACCTTAGAAACCCGCGAGCTGAAACCAACCCTTGGAAACCTGGTCACTCTCGTCTTTGGCTCATTCGGATGGAGCCCCCGTTTTTAGTTCCCCAGCATGGGTTGACCTTGGGCCAATATAGAAATGTCACCCCTGAATTCTTGACGAGGAATGGTTTGTTTACCAGTTTCTCCATTGAGTTGCTTGATTGTTTCTGCGCAGTCCAATTTCGCAATCGAGCCTACAGGTCTGAATAACTATTGGCTCAGAGTTTCATGACTTTTGGTTCGGCTCAGCTTCAATGAAAAGTTTGGGCAATGTTGAAATGGCAGCAACGACATCGTGACTGAAATTCAACTTCAAGGAGAACACTTTCCAGGCCTTGGGCTGTGTTCGGAAGAAGCCAGCTAGGCAATGCGTGTAACCTGGTCGCGGACAGTTGTTCATGACTACGGATACATGAGGCCGTGAATGCTTTCTTGTTTATGAGGCATCCCACCAGCATGAGGCATACGTGTTTTACAAGTTGCCAGTCTTGGTGCCTCTCACACTTAGACATGGTCCAAGACAACGCAGCCAAAATTGTTTGGAGGGGCTGGTATGCTCGACTCGCAGCAGTATCTTCATGTTCCGGGAACAGAGCAAACAAATCATCAGGTGGACGTCTATTTCTGGCAAGAGTGTACTTGGATCATCCCCAGTTGTTCGGGGGGGAGTAACCCCTGAACTTCCATTCAGTTTGTGGTTCCATGGTCTCTTGACCGGGAATACTCGAAAATGGAGCTGGACCACCGGACCCAGCACAGAGCAGCCTCCGGCCAGCAAGAAGCCACCTTAAATCTGGCTCACAGCACAAGATCATATCTTGGCTCGCCATCCGGTTCAACGTAGACCCGAATTCGACCCACAAGGTGCGGCGCTTTTCGCAGATGAAATGGACAGATGGTCAACCATTTACTGGAACTCAAGGGGCCTCATGGGAGCTAGACAACCAGCATGTCTAGAGACCCAAAAAGACACCATGTATATATGGCCAAGGGTCAAAATCCCGTACCCCCAGTGAACATCCCAATCACCACTAAAACAGACTAAAATGGGTGGTGCGCCTACCCCGAAATGGTTCCAGTGGTTTTGACCCACAGCCATATGATTATATATCGGTGGCTAGGGAGCTCTTTTTAAGGAGTGGTTGTAAAAGGAAATGGCGGCCATCTGGAAACAGATCTACTAGGTCCCCCCAGCGATCGGTGCCCTTTCTTTTACCCTAGTAGGGTTCGGGACACTAAAATAGACTAGCGAACAAGGTTGGGGGAGGGTTCCATATACTAAAAAACAACTGCAGAAAAAGGTTGGCACCCTTATTCTAACCTCTCAAATCTGGAGGACCTAGTATACATCTACATGTTGTAAGCCAGGGATTTTCACTTGCGCGTCCTCAATGTGCGTCAAGCCCTGAGGCCCGAACAAGGTGCTGCTGAAAGCGCAACAGGTGCCACATCGAATCGATGCGTCCTTCCGATCCAAATGTGAAGTCCTGTGCAAGCGGCATCCGGTTCCATAGGTGACCTTAGCTTCTTAGTTGGTTTAGTGGTTGGGTTTATGTTATGAGTTCAGCCCACTAGAAGTTGGTCACTTTTAGGGGAGCTGAGGGAAAGCCCAGTTTCCAGTTTTTGTTGGGAGAAGCTGTGTCCCATGTCCTTGCCAGGCTTAGACTGCAGAACATATGGACCTCCCAACCAAAGGCTATGGAGGGGGTTGGAGAAGAGGATTTGCCAAGGATTGGCCTTTATTAAGGCTTTATGGAGGGGCTTTCCGATGATAACCCCGCCTTTCCATAGCCCCTCCTTTCCATAGCCCCCCTTGGAGGTCCACGAATATCGTTACTTGCCCACATGTCTGTTGCTTTGATTCAGGTGAAAAGGACACGAATCATCTGGAAGGGTCCCTGCCAAAGACCACGGGTCCCACATTGTGCTCTTCAGTAGACTCAAAGCTGTCCGAAGGGTTTGGCATTGTCTATGTGTTCCCCCGGTCCTGTTCGTTCCACTTGTAGTCATGACTCTTAAAGGTTAATCTTTTCTTGGTGGCTCCCAGCCATCCCCTTAGTTTTGAGGTTTTTAGGTTTCGGTGCTAGTTTCCATTTAACCCACTAAAAGTTAGTCACTTTTTGCAGAGGATCTGAGGGAAGCCCAGTTTTGTTTCGTTCTCTGGCCCTTGACAGACTGCCTCAAGAGTTGACGTAGGCTCATGTTGTTGCTTGCGGATCGGACAAGCGATGTGGTCGCTTAACTGTTGACTTGCTGAGCTTGATGTTTGTGACTTTAGTAGAGGGTTGTAGTACCGGTTTGCTGGGGTTCATAGTTTTATGGTAAGGTCTATAGATCCTTTATAGCCATGTTGGTAGAACCATATGGGGCGTCGACGCTGATCACACAATATTTTTCAACACACTGTGTCATGCTTCTCGACATGTCAGCTGGCTCGTTCGTTGCTTTAGACACCTCTTTAATTGATGACAAATGCCGTGATTCGGCATTCACCTGCGCAATGCTTCGTTGCCACGCATGCGAAGTCTGATTACACGCTTGCCCTGGGTTGGTCACTGTTTCAAGTATGTGAACAGTTGGAATCCGGAGGGGTGGGAAGGGCAAAGCAAAGTTTGAACACCGCTGGTGCAATTTATGTTAAGAGTGCTTTGCTTTGAGCCATACCGCGCTTGTCATGTCATTGCAGATGTTTGCTGTTGGCGATGGCGCGAAGAAATTCGGAACACGAATTGGGGATGTTTTTTTTGACGGTGTTGCTGGGTTGCTTTGAAAGGAAACCAAAGCAGGGCTCCTTAAAAGATACATTTTGCCCATTTGAAACATGTTTTTTTCCACCAAAACAAAGGGACACCACCATTTACAAGGCAATGTTCAGGTGTATAATGTAAGGGTCCCTGCAAAGGAAAGCCCATCGGTTTTGGGATCAATCATCTCCCCTGATTTGTTTATACATTGAGCCCCAAACGGGGTTCATTCCGATGCTATGACATGGATGCTTTCTGCTGGGTTGAATCTTAATCTGAGTTCTCGCCGAACCGTCCGTCAGGTCTATGCAGAGCTATTTGGCAGCAGGGAAGGATGGTATGTATCTGTGTGTGTAAGGTCTTTTGTGGGCAAGCTTCTTTTGGTTGCTTCACTGCAAATAAATATGGAACCCACTTGTGGACCCGGTGTTCCGAAAAGGAGACTCCAGATCGCGGTTTTTGACGGAAACCAAAAAGGACGCCATGTTGGGGGTTCGCCAGCTTGAGAAAACTCAGCTCATGTGGATTGGTTCAGCTAACTAACTACTCACTTCCTGAGTTCATGAACTTAGTGGTAAATAAAAGTTTGGACTTTTTTTTGGCCATCCACTCAGCCAGTGAGACTACTTGGAGGCAACGACATGATATTCCCCGAAATCTTGGTGGTATGCGCATGGTCTCCTTTGCCTCACGTAGGTACATGCTGTCGTTTGCCGTGCCCGCCGTCACGCCTGTGCTTGTCTACGCGTTTCAAGCAGGGTGCCAGCTCGAGGAGTGATTTCCTTTTGCAGGAATCCTCCGCTTGGTCCATCCAAGACATCCCCGTGCTCCAAATACCCGTTTTGTTTTAGGGCATGATGTCAACCCGGAAAAAAAATGGAACACCTTGCGTTTCCAAATGTGCACCTGAACAGGGATTTGGAGCAGGAGGTTGAAGTTTTTATTTTTGATTGTACCGAAGCTTCAGCCCCAGGACGCGTTAGTAGGGTTCAGGATTGTGTTTAGGGTTTACGGTTCCAGATTTGGCGGTCAAGCTTCGGGTTTAGGTTTAGTGTTCAAAGGGTTTAGCTTGGGGATCGCTTTCACTGGCTGAGTTTGCAAGGCCTGTCGGGCTTAGCCCAAAGCCCCAAAACCCTTGCGCTATCTGCACTTGCGGCAGTTCACCCGTCCCTTCAAGTGTTCTTGGTTGTTGTTGGGAAACATTTTACATTTTTGCTTATTGTGGTTTAGTGGCTAAATCCCCACTTAACGGCTATTTGTTTTTTGTTGCTCCCCTTCCAACGTCAACCAAGGGATGCGGCAGATCACATTGGACAGACATGTTAGCGTCCTCTTGAGACTTTCCCTCAAGATCCGAGCAACAGTTCGAAACAAATTATTTCCAGATAGCCTTCGAGCGATGCTGCGTGTTGAGGACAAATCTTGACCATTCATTTTGTCAGGGTACCATTATTTTGTTTTTAATTGGGAAAAAACAAAGTCTTCCTTTGAGGAGTCCCTACAGAAGGCAGACCATTTAACCAGACAACCAACCAACCAACCAACCAACCAACCAACCAACCAACCAACCAACCAACCAACCAACCAACCAACCAACCAACCAACCAACCAACCAACCAAACCAACCAACCAACCAACCAACCAACCAACCAACCAACCAACCAACCAACCAACCAACCAACCAACCAACCAACCAACCAACCAACCAACCAACCAACCCGGCCCTAGGAAAAACCTCCAGCCCTGGAACAAAAAACAAAAAGCATCAACCATCTAAAACACCGGATCCCCATTTCACCCACCAGTTACGCCACGTTTTTTCGGCAGATCCGGAGAAAACTGGAGCCAACCCAGCCCTAGTAAAACAACCATCAGCCCTAGGGAAAATCGGAAAAAAAAGGTCACCACCAACCAGCCCAGCCCTAGCAAAAAACATAAACCTAGGAAAGCCAAAATCCCACCGGATCCCCACAGAACGCCACCGGACGAGGTCCCTCAGTGAGCCCGCCTATGTGAAGAGTGGCCTCGAGCCGATCCAAGAGGCCCCGCAACTCGGGGAAGGAAGCTCGGGGGTTTTCGGCGAGGCAAGGAGGGGTGTTGGTGTTGGTGCTCGAAATGTTTTTTTTTGTTCTTTGTTTTTGGTCGAAATGATTGTGTTTCTACTTGTTGTCTTCTTCTTCTTATTATTCTTCTTCTTCTTCTTCTTCTTTTTTCTTCTTTTTTTCTTTCCAAGGGAATCGATTTCACTGCAGGAGTTGTTTGTGTGTTTGTTTGTTTTAAATATATTTGTTCTTCAGGATTCTTCCAGAATTGGCGGTTTGGATTTGGATTTGACCCCCTGCTTCTAGATGGTTAATGGGCAACCCCTCCAAACCACCAATCCAAACCACTGGATATTTGGTGTTGATCGAAACATCACCGTTTCCCAGTTGCAACCAGTGGATTTCGCCCTTTGAACTTCTCTCTGGGAAGGGTCCCCCTTTAAAGTCAAGCAACCACAACATGGATGCTGATTCTTTCTTTTTTCCCCATGGAAATCCAAAAAGGGCATCTTAGGTTTGGATCCTTTTGGGCTGGAACTTGCCCAATGGCACCCATGTTCCTTATGTTTGTCTTTTTGTGTCTTCCATTTGCTGAGATTGATTATTTGTTTATATTTTTTCGTTTTTTTTCCCCTGTTGGTTTCTTCAGGCTTCGCCACTCCTGTCTTTTTTGGTGCAACTTGAGGAAATGTTGGTCCACAGGCGTTTGCGCATGTCCAACTTCCATTTGCTTCAGACGCCATCACCACAGGAAATATTTGTGTTTTTTCTCCAGGGAGCTGAAGATGGAAGGATTCGGGGATGTGAGTCCCGTGCAAGGGGGCTATCCTCTGATATTTCGGATTTTCAGATTGACGTGAACATAGGGGCAAGGCTGCAGGTCGTCAGGTCGTCAGGTCGTCAGGTTGATTTTTCAGCCTTTTGAAATTAGGTCCGGGGTGTTTATTTTTGGTTGGCACCCAAAAGAAAGCCCTGTGCCAATCACCTATGCACCACGAGGATGTGAAGGCGGCCTCATCCTCAGTCCCAAAGAGAACCGCGCGTGTGCTCTAAATGTGACTCTCAAACTCTTCACACAACTTGTTTGTATGTCACTCTGTCCCGAAAACAGACCCTGGCTGCGCGCCCCGAAATCCACATCTTCTGGGATCGGCAGCCTCGAAAGGTCATGCGCATCGCGGTGTTTCCTGCTTGAAGTTTCAAAAGATCGTATGACCAAAAGCTCCGCCACACACCCATCAGCCTAGTTCACATGGATCCATTTGGCAATTAAAACGAGCTCACCAAGCTGATTGTGGCATTCAATTCTTATTTTAGTTGGGCAGTTTTTAACATAAAACAACAAGAACAAGTTCTCTTGGAAGGCTTAGAACAAAGATTGGTCTCCAACCATGCCTGCTTTAGACCACATTCCATTTCCGGCATCCTGTTCTAGAATTTGCAGACCCATCTTCACAAGGGGCTGGTTGGTGTCCCTTTGGTTTACTCTACTAGGTCCCCCAATAGCGCCTTTTTGCCATTTTTTTGGGGAGGCTTCCCTTACTAAAATAGACAAAAAGGAACAACAAATATTCTAACCTCTCAAATCTGGAGGACCTAGTCTATCAACCCTACAAAAATACGAGTCCCCCCCCCCCCACCGGCCAGCGGGAAGCTAGCGGCCAGGACGTGGAGGACTGCGCGAGCATCACGCCACCGCCGGGCCTCGAGAAGCCAGAAGACGCTTGGATTCGATTGAAACCATCTCCCACCATTGAGACCCGCAGTTTTTCTAGGGGGTGATTCCATTTCCATTCTTTTCAGCTATCGTTCTTTTCAAAATCCTGATTCGTTTCCATCCTGGGTTTTTGGTGGCTTTTTAGAACGAAGGATCCCTGGAAAGAATGGGGAAGTTCCCACCAGATACATGTCCCCCACCAAAACGTCACCACCAAAAAACGCTCACCGTTCATGGTTGCCCAAAAGGTGATGCTTAAAACCACAAAGGGAAATGAGCTGGACCCCTGTGAAA